TTCAGTTAGTTTTCTCGACATAATTTTAAATTGACCAACATGTGTAATTTAAAGCATAATTGATGGTGTTTCTTGGTTCTAGTTCTTGTTTGAATGTCTGCACTCAGGTCCTTTCCACTCTACTACTGGCAATGTGTCAGCGCGCTATGAGACCGATATCACTCCAGCTGGCTGGACCTTCTCTATCTGGGGTGTTATCTATACCTGGCTCACCCTGATGGTGATATACATCACTTCATATGTGTTCAGAGGGTAAGATCTCATACAAATATGCACTCGCATGTCTGATAGCACTCGTTGCACGTGAACCTGATCTCTTTCTGTCAACAGGTCCTGGGCTCAGTGTCTGATGCCGTACACCTTCTACTTGTGCTGGCTGGCCAACATGGTGATGAACATCATATGGCTGCTGCTGTGGGATAGAGAGTATGTCTGCTACGTATTATTCTCTTTTCATTTCCTCAAAAAACTCTGGATCTCCAGCCACTTATCTTGTGTTTTAACAGGTGGTGTCGAGGTTGCGGAGCAGCTGTAGCTCCATCCGTCACACTCTTTAACAGTTTTGTTTGGTGGTTTAGCCCGTTTATTAGCTGTAGGCCGGCTCGTTGACTGTCCAAAGTGAGACATGGGGAAGACTTTGTCCCTGTACAGATGTGTAGTGTTTCCTCTGGTGGAGATGAGGACAGTGCTGCAATGTGGGTCAAATAGATCTCAGGTTTGTTTCAAATGTCCAGCTACAATAAAAAAAAAAAATCAAAAAATTCCCACTAGGGAGGATAACGATACAAAATAATAAATATATTAAATAATGAGAAATCATTAATAAAAAGGAAAATCATTTGTTGAATGAACACATTTCTTAAATAAACAAAGGGGAAAATATTAAAAGAAATTCATAAACCATAAACCAGCTCAGAGATAATAACTACTTACTTTATTGAAATGGTGCACAATATTCTACCGGCAATGGTATACGTTGATCTGACTGGCAAGGCCTAAGATAAACAATGAACAATACTACTGAGATGTGCAGAGGAAACATCTGCTGACTCTCTCTCTGTGTCTCTGTCCTCCAGGTCGATGCTAGCAGCTCTGGTTGTGTTAATCCTGATGACCATTTCCAACTACATTGCTTTGTTCTTCTGTTGCTTTGCCACTGATTACTATGGACTCTGGTTACAGACATACCATAGGAAAGACCTGTACTGTCTACGAATACTGGTAAGTGTGTGTGTGTGTGTGTGTGTGTGTGTGTGTGTGTGTATATGCTTCATGTTCTGCATTCGCTGTATTGCTGACGACTCAATTTGGAAGAAAGTCCGAGGTGAATGATGTAACTGTTGTGCTCATCGATGTTCATATGTTCAGGTCCAGAATGGTTTGGCTCTCTACACCACATGGATTTCCATTGCTTCTCTGATCAACTTCTCATTGGTGCTTCACCTGTGGGGTGTGGCCAGGAGCACAGCAGCAACAGCTTCTCTGTGCATCTTGTTTGCAGAGGTGGTGGGATGGTAAGCTTCGATTGGACGAGCTTCAATGATGGCTGTTTTAAAAGCAGAAGAGTGATCAGTGCGATGGAAGCAAATGCATTAACTTTTTAGATCTGAGAATGCTGTAATCATGACTCTGACCTCCTGGCATTCCAGCAATGTGCTGTTTTTTCTTACATTAACTAATCATTTCCCAAATAGCAGCTGCAGAACATATGATCGCATTCTGTGGTTTTTATGATCTTCAGAGAGATTTGAATATTTAGTGTGAATCTGCATACATCTTACTTAATGCAGCAGCTGTCTGAGTGTTTGGTATCCGTATACTTCAGTTGGATGGGATTGCTGTAACACCATCCGTGCACGTGAGAACATGGTCGAGTTGGCTGAGGCTTGTCCCTGTGTGCAGGTTCCTGCTTGAGAACTGGGTGCTGGACCGCTGGGTGCGTAACATCCTCACCGTGTACCCCGTGGTGATCGTGGCTCTGGTTGGAAACGTCTTCAAACATTTTAACCCTGCGGATCCCACCCCAAATTCAGTGTTTGTCGGTGAGTGTGACACTGGATCACTGCAACTGTGACTTCACCAACCCCACCCCGTCTTTCCAGCAGGCGGCTGCTTTTCATCCGACTCACAGTGGATGAACCCTGAAGGAACAAATGATGACACCGATCCACACAAAATGAATCCGTAATCTTCTTGCGCGGCTATTGGAAGACTGATTAAACATTAAGTTAACCCCGGAAAATGAAGACAGAGTCGTAGTTTTGACCTTTTCATTTGAACTCTTTCACTACTATGCTGGTGAAAACTGGAAGTAAAGACACAAAACGTTCAGAGTGAACAAACCGATTACACAAGCAAACGTATAATCCAAAGAAGTTCTACTATCAGGCCCCACACACAATTACAACCAAAACTCGACTGCAGCAGGAACACGTATCAGGACATCAAAGACACATCTTTAACGGGCAGAAACACCCAGCATTGCCTCAACGATGCATTTTAGTGGATGCAAGCAGACCTCTCTCGTGCACATGTACTCCTCTCTGGCCTTCAAAAAGCAGTCCGGCATGTAATAACATAACCGGGATATGCTACTTCAGAAAGGATTCATGGTGCACAGAAAAACAACCTATGTGATAGAAACCGTTTTCTTATGAAAATAAAACACCCAATCTAAAGTTAAGCACAGAAATGCCATAAAAACAACAGTATCAATGTCACTTCCATGAATAAGAATGTCAGAAATCCAGATTATTATTACACCACAGTCAGCTTGACAGATATAATTTCACCATATTTACCTGCTGCCTTCCTGTACTCACTGAAATTATATTCATTTTAATACTTTAAATGCTCACTGTTGTGATTCCTTTGTCTTGACTTCTTTTGTGTCTAATCAGTGGTACTGCTGGTGTTGGCGTGCGTCCTGCTGGTTTTCCGACTCTGCACCGTCATCTGGAGGAATGAAATGAGGCCTCTCCACTCCCCGGGCTCAGCGCGGCTGATGGTTTCACCCCTCGATGGCAGAAAATTCATTATTTTTACTTAAACAGGAGCCTTTTTGTATTTGTTTTCCACTGCAGTATTTAAACTGCAGAGCTGCACTTATTAAACATGTTTAAGTTTTCAGGAAGGAAACCTCCTCTTCACTCCTCTTGTCCCTCAACTGCAATCAAAACAATGGGACAATTACTCTGAAACACTAATTATCTACTACCAGTGTTAACCATTACTGACCATTAATATTGCCTGTAGCTGATGTACTTTTTACCTAAATGAATGCATGTCGTTTCAGTATGTTTTGTAAAGCTGTTACAAAAAACTTAAAGCAGTTTTATTTGATTTCATTCATTTATGTTGAATTAAAGCATTGTCTTTTGTCTGAGTTGTTGAAACTATCTTTATAAACTGCAGAGAAAAACATTTGGCTGACACGCACAGTACGAGATATTCTTTTCCCTTCTGTTTTATAAACGCGTAACATTAATCTCCCAGTAGCTGGCTAACCAGCCGCAGGCAGATTGATCCCGCTGATGTGTGTGGCTTTGTTCTCATATAACCGTTGTTGCCATATAACTGTCTCTATGAAGGCAACTCAATGTCAAAGTCCGAGAGCAAATCAGGTCTAAATCAAACATTTGCAAGCAAAAGTCCCTCTTTCACGAGAAAAGGTCCTTTCGGGGACATGGAACCTCTACATCTGATTGGTTACAAACGTCGTCTTTGGATTGGCTGGATGTCATCTCTGTTGAGAGGGATGCATTCCCAACTATAGAAACCCATTTCCACTCTTCATAGAGTGGGGATCTGTCCAATTCTTTTTTTCCCCTATATTATTCTAACTTTGTAAATGTTTTCAACTGCACCACATTGTTCTGTGTAGGCTTGCTATTGTTTTTTACATCAAAAGTAAATAAATAAATAATCAACCTGGATATTTACTGGTTGCCCGCAAGCTGGCGATGCAAACGGCCTTACCGTTAACTATGGGAATAAATGTAACCTTTACTTGTTTTCTTATGTCTATGGTTTATTGAAGATTTCTTTATCTACATATTTAATTCAATTTGCCTCAGAGGGCTTTACAGTCTGTACACATGCGACATCCTCTGTCCCAAAACCCTCACATCGGCACAGGAGAAACTCCCCCAAAAATGAAAAACCCTTCCATTGGGAAAAAAGGGAAGAAACTGTAGGCAATGTAGTAGTGTGCTACTGTGTGCTACACATATTTACTCTGATGTTATACAACATTTCTATTGTTATTAGACCAGCAGAGATTATTCAACACATTCATTATCAATTCTCATTTCAAAGCAAAAATATCCTAAATGTTTTTCTGGACCTTCCTTTATTAAATATGGTTACGATGATGACGGATCAGATGTATCATCAAGCCAAACATTCTTTCTTTCTATATTTTCCTGTTACATGAATTCTGAATCACGACGTGTTTGTGTGTAGTTGTTTAGACTTCACAAGGACTGCAGAGACCTGCAGGTCCATGGTGGAGAGACTCAGGTTGTTTTGAAGAAGAGCGATGGAGGAATGATGAGGGAGGCATCACATTGGCGGCGAGGAGGAACACGTTCTATTCCGATACCCCTCACATGGGAACACGTTCTATCCCCTGATACCCCACATTACACACAGCAAAGATGGGTGGAGAATAAGGGTAAAGTGCGCCTGTGTGCTGTGCGCTACCGGAGGGGGCAGTAGTGTGCTACTGTGCGCTACCTGAGGGGGCAGTAGTGTGCTACTGTGTGCTACCGGAGGGGGCAGTAGTGTGCTACTGTGTGCTACCGGAGGGGGCAGTAGTGTTCTACTGTGTGCTACCGGAGGGGGCAGTAGTGTTCTACTGTGTGCTACCGGAGGGGGGAGTAGTGTTCTACTGTGTGCTACCGGAGGGGGCAGTAGTGTGCTACTGTGCGCTACCTGAGGGGGCAGTAGTGTGCTATTCTCCTTCCTACTATAGTATCAAAGAAGAAGAGCGGAAGCGGACGTACGTCATTGTGTGTGCGACGCTGTGTGTCAGTCAGGGTCGCTAACGAAAGAACAATGTCAATAAGAGTAACAGCCATGTTTTCAGTGAATATTGTGCGCACCACACGGCACCGTGTGGCTTCTCAGTGCGTCAGTAAGAGACACTTTACGGCGCCATGTTTCAGAGCCATGAGCAGAGAGAGTAAGCAGCTCGAGGGCCGCAGAAGCTCCTTCCTCAACCCCACCGAGGTACGACTTCACTTTGCTCCCAAACACCTTCTGCTTCTTTCACTTCCATGGTTTTGTATTTGGGATCTATGTGCACGTGCAAGATGCAACCCTCCCAGGGGCATGGTTTCAGGGGAGGGGGGTCCAGGGATTCTCTGCTAGTTTCTGCAGCTTTGCATACGTATGAAACAAATCTCCTCATCAGGCATGTTCTCCATCTCCATGATGCTCCACATCATCGTGATGCACAGAACGGATCCTTACAAGAATCCCTATTTAGTTCAATGCAGACTGAAGAAAGCCCAGACAGTGTAAACACGGATATAAAACAGGAATGTCTACAACATAAGGTGTATTTATGTACTTCTGCATATATAGATGTATCTCTACACATCAATACGAACATAAATACTGGCTTATAATAAGAAAAGTGGACTTTATGCACAAATGGTGCAGATATTACTTCACTAATCCATCAGGAACGTTGTGGTTTACGTGCCATAAAATTAAAAAATAGGGAACTTTTAGAGAAATGTGCCTCTGTCTACCTCCATTGTCCTGTGTATAAGTTTGGATTTATTTATTTTAAATGAATTATTCAGAATGATAATGTGTACGTTATCATCACAGCCGGCTCTAGATTTGGAACAGAGGAGCTGCACTTTGCTGAAGGCTGCTCTCATTGTGTCTTTAGGTGCACTCCCACCGTCCACCCACCTGCCGTCTGTCCTCAGTCCCCCCCTCAGAGGACGGAGACCTCGTGTACACTGGCAGCCTGGCCAGAGCTGTTCGAGGTGAGTCACTTTCATCTTGTTAGTTTCCTGTGTCTGATATGCGGTTGCTAGTGTTTCGCTCATAGTATATTTTGAGATAAATGAAATGATTAATCCTGACGGATATCGGTACCATGTGGTTGTCTCATCCTTACCGGTGCTGCATTCATTATCAGGTCAATCTGAAATGCATTATGTTTCTGGTGATCAGATGTAGATTTCTGCTTTTTGAATTTGATTATTGTCTGTTCCTGCTGTTTACGGCAAAAAGGGCGTAAAAAAGACCCAATAATTAAAAAACAAAAGCAATACTATCAATTACTTTCCAAACTAGAAACACCAAGCGTGACTACTTTGTCCTGTGACACAAATAGTCACAAATTCAACATTTTAGAGTTAAAGCAACTTTAAATGCACATTTCCTACATCAATCAAATACTAATAAATAAATAAATACTAGCAATTCAATAGAAACACATTTCTATTGAGTCAAGTGAGTCTAGATAGTGTCAATATGTTGTGTGTGTGACGGGGGGGTGAAAGTATCCATGTGTGGTTGACCCGTTGGTGAGGAAACCCACAGTGATGCATCAGTGATGATGAAGACAGTTGAAGAGAAAGTGATTACATGGTGGCTGTAGGTGAACGATTAAGGAAGAAGGATTTGAATACTTCATTGGAGAACAGTGGTATAAATATTATAGAAGAACAATACATTCATTGGACTGCTGAAGCATTCCAAACTAATTATGTGGTAAACAAAAAAATGCTCAACAAACCGGAATATGTTTTATATTTTAGCTTTGCACAGAGGGGAACAGGCCTGATCCCTGTGTGGGACTGTGCAGCCGCCCTGCTCAACACACCTCAAACAGTCTTTATGTTTTGTATGAATGGACACTACTGCTTCATGGACTCCAACTCAATGGGGTTGTGGTTTAGTTTACACAAGTTTAAGACATTTCATATATGCATCGGTAAATACCCCTCTGATGAATATTGAAGATTTTGGCCTTAAAAAAGGCAGCTAGCGGCCAAATGAGAAGACCAGATGAGCTCAGGGACGCTGCACCATTCACGCAAAAGTATTGATCCTTTTTAAGACCGTCTTGCTGAACAAAGTAACACAACCTTCATCTCTTTCGTCAGGGGTCAAGCTGTTTTCATACAGCACCAGTGGGACCAGCCTCTTCCTGGTGCCCCACACCCTCCTAAAGACCGGACTGGTGGTCCAAAGCTTTGCCTTGACGGCCGCTTTCTGTGGAGTCGTCGGATTTTTCACCTTCCTCACCCCAGTCCTCCTCCACCTCATCACCAAGGGCTATGTGGTCCGCCTCTACCACCAGCCAGACGGAGACACCTACACAGCCATCACCTACAGCGTCTTCCTCACTGAAAAAAAGAGTGTGTTCCACCAGAGGCAGGTCAGGATCCCAGCTGTAGGCAAGATGTTCACCACCTTCTATGCTGACAAAATGGGGCTACTGGTAAACCCGGACATGTTCCGCGTTCCACATGACTACAACCACCTGATGGGCTACGATAAGCCCTTCCGCTTCGACGCGGACCACATCAATGACCCGGATAAGAGCTGAACTGCCCACCGGATCGATGTGGTGTGGGTGTACGAGTCGTTCCCCGTTTCACACATTCACAGAGCGCTCTGCGAGGATTTCTCTCAACAGGTTTCCACATTTCTTGTTAATAAATTATGACATCATTAATTGGGTTTTGCTACTGTGTGACAATCTACTTTCACAAACATTCTGTTACTTTCAGGATGTGGTGAGCTGCCTTTAGTATCTCCTCCTGTCTGTGCTGCGCTTTCTGACTCACACGTTCCTTCCAACTAATACTCTCCAGACTCGTCAAAATGATTTGTTTTGTTTCCTCCAAAGTGTAATATAGTTTTAAATGAGCACCAGAGTGGATAAAGTCAGGTCAAAGGCTCTGCCAATGTCCATACGATATAAAGGAGGAGCTTGTGACTCTCCTCTTATCGCCGCTGACCCTCATCAGGTCAATCTAATAAATCATTAACAAAGTTATTATTTCAAATACAAACTTAACATACATTCATATTTTAAGGGAATCCACATAATTCCTACAAACAAATTTATTTGTAACAAAAAAAGAAAACATGGCTCCAACACAGTCATCCACTATCAGTATCCTCAGAGGATACGAGGTAAACCCATGTAGCAACCAGCTAACTGGCCAGGCTGAACAGCCATGTGCCACTGGAATGAGACCTGCGAGGACTTCTGAGCCCTTTCATCCAGGCCGTCATTTAGAGGTCCTTATTTTGGGGCTTTGAATGGCCCAAGAGGTGTCTCACGGTCGTATTATGCGCCAATCTCCGCCATTTCTATAATTGTGCTCAAGGTTGCCGAGGTGATTTGTTCCCCACACCTTGGAGGATTTGAACAGCTGGCACAGCAGAAGGCCCTAGATATGGTTGGGGCGTCATAGATGGGTGTTAAATACTTCAACCACAAGTAGTTTCACTCAATTCTACCTCAACGGACCTTTGACGACTGGGGAGATTTCTGGACATTTTTGTTGGATGTTGGTGTTACAAGACACAGGTTTTGAGAAACAACCCCGATGGTTGTAATTCAGTCCAGTTGCTCGTGTCAGTCGACAACAAATCACTTTTAATAAGTATCTTGGGTGAAGGTTTGCTTCATGAAATTGTTAGATTGATAAGAACCGACCCCCCCCTTGGCCCGCTTACTGTGCTCTTTCTAGGCTGGTTTGGACAGTATTCTCTCTTCAACAAGTGTTACATATTAATCTGTTGTATGGATCTAACATTTCCATGTATTGTTCTAAATGAATTATAGTGTAATCTTCTTTCTAAAACTGAGGACAAACATCAGGTTCGGTTGCCTTCTCACAGTTCTTTGCAAAGCTTACATCTGTTCACGATAGAAAGAAAATCACAAGAATGAGAACATTTATGCAAAGTTTTATAACATGAAGAAAAAACGTGATGCTACAGTGGCTTATCAAACGGAAATATGCGCGTCATTCAGTGTCAGCATGCCATTACACTGCAGGGCAGTCAAAGAAATACAGATGCAATACAATCAAAGGTCAGGGGGTCTGCCATAGTTGTGTATGTGAGCAACACACATTATGTTACAGAAGCATCGTCCTACTTCCTGAAAATAAACACAGTCCTTTCAGTCCATCCAGAGAGGAGGCTGTTACTAATTCAATACCAGTAACAGCAGGGAATACGTTATATGACAACACAGGACATAAGTCAGTCGTCCTCCGTCAGTCTCCTCAGAGCATATGAGGACAACCCTGATGAGAGTGAGTCCCTGCTGCTGGACGGACAACATGTACCAACCAGCTTCTGTTGATTGTTACCTGCCGTTTTAGACAAGGGGATCAAAATCAGTTTAAATCTAACCTCGCATAACACTTCAATCCAAAGCAACTTGCATTGCATTTGTAACCCATGGTGTTACATGTATAAGCTGAGGAGCAGTCAGGTGTCTTGGTCAGGGACACTTTGACATGGGACATGGAGCAGGTAGGGTTTGAACCATCAACCTTGTGGCTCCCGGCGCATTGTATCTTAACAGGTCAAGGACATGCTTCACCATAAAGTACACACTGCGTGCAGGTGTTGGTCCACCTCCATCACAAATGACACCTTCCAAACAGTTTGCAAGTTTTCTAATATCTCAGACTTGTTCTTAAGATTTGGACTGTTGACGTCAGCCTCTCTGGTCGTCACTGGCCCAACATCGGGTTTTATATCCAGTATCCTTGCACACCGTAGCGCTGCAGCTCCTAATAATGTTTTCATAGATAGCCAGTAACACTGATACAAATACAGCTCTATATCTTTGATGGGAATTGTTCATTGGGTATTGGATTCCCGCTTCTATTAAATTTCCATTTTCTAAATTCAAATAACTTAAAATACAGCAGTTGACTCTGATTTTTACACTTCTGACATGAAATGGCGCTAACTACACAATTTCTTACACTACAAATGCACTTCCACCCAGGTGTGAAGAAAAGGGCCTGGCTATCAGCTGCTGTTGTCATAGTGGGATTATTATTATAATTATTATTATATTAGTGGGATTGTGGCTTTCTCTCGTCTTGCACGGAGCTTGTTAGCGGGACAGTTGGAGGTGCATTGGTTCTCTTGTGATTGAGCTAAACTAGCAGCTTCCTTCCCCTTCTTTGTAACCAATAAAATAACTCATCCCACATGTGTCTCCATACTGGACCAACATACACAGGAGGATGGCGCACAAGAAGATTTCCGAAATCTGAAAAACGTTGTAATCTCTTGTGGACTGACAGGACTCGTTTATTCCTCAGGAGCTGAACTTCCCCCTGAACCCGTCTGGCATCCTCAGAAAAAATTGGAACTATTAAAGAGTTTCAGCAATAAAGTAATTAAGAGATACTTGTCAGTCACAAAGATGCAAAAACATTTGGCCTTAGTCCAAGTAATGCGGACAAAGTCATGGCTACCTCCTTTACAGACAAGCAAGCAAGTCAGTGCGCAACAACACACACACACACACACACACAAAACTTTACTTTAAAACAAGGCAAATAATCAAACATGGGATTTAATATTAAAAGCACAACTCAGGAGCATTATTGGGATTCCTGAATCCCTTTGCCGTAACGTAGCACATTGCAAAAAGGCAGTCAATAATTAATATAAAAATAAAGATAGAAAGTAAGAACTTTTATGAATAAATATGACATAATATAAATAAATTAACAAAGAAAATAAATTAAATCAAATTTAAAAATATATAAATACTTCAATAAATGCAAATGAGCACACTTATTCACTTTCTGCAACGCTATTGGCTCCGTTCTCCACACCGTCTGAATGCCGTCCCTGTTCATTGTAAATAAAGTTAAAATAAACTGTCCCGCCTCTCCTCACAGGCTCTGCCAGGCAGCACTGTGCCGTGTGCTTTAATACCAACGCTGGGATGCCATGGTGGTTTTAAACCACTCGCCACGCCTCCGGGCTCCACAGGCAGCGAGCTCACTAATACTCCCTACGCTTAGAAAACTACATACATCCTAACGTCATGTGTCCGTGTCGTGGAGAGGCGCTCAGATGAACCACTCCTTCTTGCTCTCGTCGATGGTCTCGGTGAAGGCCGGGTCGTTGACGATAATCGCCGCGTCGGCGCAGTCTGCTGACTCGGCTCCCTTGGCCTCGTTGGTGTGGTAGGAGCCTTTATGACGGAACATGTGACGGACCACAAACACCATGATGCAGATGGCCGTGAAGATCACCATGGAAATGATACCTGCGAACCAAACAGACGGGTCACGAATGTTCTTCCGGCTGCGCGCCGAGGAGACGCGGGAATCAAACGGTGATTCAGTGTCCTACAGGTCCATATGTATCCCTGACCCATCAGTAAAGCAACGAGCATGTGACCCATTCTCAGCCAATGAGAGACGGCTAAGCAGGCGCGGCGTGATTGATTTAAAACAGGTAAATCCACGTTGCCTCATTAGTGGCGCTGTGGTTCGGCTCAGAGCCGCAGAGGGAACACGGTGCCTCAGGGAACAGTGTAATGGGCCTCGCGTTGAATTATTTGTGTCTCTCGCTTTTGAAAGTGGAGATTCGGCAGCAACAGAGAGAGAGAGACAGGATAGACGGAGAGTCCCGGCGAGGAAACACGAGCAATATTAATAAAGTAAAACGGCAGAAGGTGTTTGCGTCCGCCCCATTGACACGCCGACAGAACCCCGGCTAATGGGCCGACCTCTGACACGGCAGCTGGTTCCTCAGATGGGCTCTCGGCTGCTGCTTGTAACTGAAAGTCAAATGAGATTTACCTCCAACTATGGCCGAGTTGCGATCCACTCCATCCCCGCGGGCTTTGCTGTCGCTGAGCGGGAAAACGGCTCCAGCTGAGGAGACATTGGTTATCGCCCTCATTATACTGGAACATGAGCACACAGGAAAAAGCCAAAGTGGCTTCATTGGAATGAAAGTTTGAAGAAAACAATGTTGCCAAAGCATGAAAATACAAAAGTACACAATAATATTAACATATTTCAACTGGAATGTGGAAGCAATGAGATGTTCTCTTAATTGCATTCATAGATCATTGAGCTTGTGGTGCATTCACTGCCATGCTGTTAGAGTTATTACGAGGTAGGTAGAACTCTAAAATGGTATTCGTTGTCCTGACATCTAAAAAGCATGACGTTGTTTTTCTTCCAGCTGTGACAGTCCTTGTTCATGGGGGGCCATTAGCTCAGGACACACACTTCCAGGAGCAGAACATTTTATTCAATGTTAAATTGAGTCAACTGGACAAACACCGTTTCTCTGAGTCCAGGATTCTGTTCATTTGTCTCCAGTGTTAAGAGAACACTTCCTAGATTCATTCATTTATTGCCAAAATATGTCAGACATACGAGGAATTTCACTTGGCGGTTGGTGCAAAACATCGCACAGTAAGACAATAGACAACATAGTGAAGAGAAATGTTCAATTTACAAATTTACAAATTTACAATTTACAATCTACGGAATAAAATATAATGCTTATGGGCTAGTGGGATATAGAATAGACAATTCAAAAATAAAAGATGAGAAGGAAATAAAAGTAAAAATAAAACTTAATAAATGAAGTGCACAAGCGCTAAACATGTACACACTACACACACACACACACCTGCTTCTACGTGCCAGGGGTCACTAGCCGAAGCCATGGGCGAGATGGTCATGGGAGAGGCTCCACAGTTGGATGGGACCAGGATCCCATGGGTGCTGACCGGTGCAGCCGGGCCTGAGCGCAGCGCAGCCTTCAGCGGCGCCATGCTGTTCCACTGAACCCTGGACAGACAGCCCACGAAGCCCGGCGTGTTGTAGCGCGCGATTAAGATCGGGTCAATCTGTCCGGTTTCTACAGCGGAGACACAACAACACAAAGCAAATGTAGAAACGTAAAAACCATAGACGGGCCGGCCGTACGCCTGTGTGGCATCGTGGGGGGAGTTATTCTGTAGTAATTTCCCCCTTTTTTCTGTTTGTTGCTGTTGAATCACAGCAGAATCATGTTTGTGTTGCTAGATACTGAGGATGTAGCTGGTTAGAAGCACAGAGCGCCTCTCAGTGATGCTATTAACAGAAAAGATGCTGGGACTTCTGCATAAACACAGAGCAGCAGTAGTGTTTCTTTTAGCTTCGTTTGGTGACGCACAGTAAATGTTAAATGGACTTGTAATAGTATATATGCAAGGAAATCCAGTCCTGCTCCACCAAATAAACATGCTGCAATAATTCCCTTTAGACCTTCTGCTCCATCCAAACAGAAATGTCTTCTTTTCCTCCTCGGTTTTGGTCACAACACATCACATATTAGACTTTGTAGGTTTATATTACATGTAATAATCTTGAGTTTCACATCGTAACATGCTGATGTGTTGTTGGCAGATCGTTATAAAGCTCATGAGTGTGTGAGCGGCACAGTAGGTATTCTATGAAGCAATTTCCTTTAACTTTGATGTAAAGTAGTGTGAAGTGTTCCTAAAAAAATGCACTCAAATGTAATCTACAATTAGCTTGAAAAAGTACATTAAGTACATATCGAATGTATTCCATAAAGCCTACTTCACAATACTGCAATCCAGTGAGTACTGAGGACGCAACAGAGGAGCCTTTCCTCTCCTTCCATTATGAATTGAAGGAGATTGATATTCCCAAACGTAATAACGTCTCTGATTATTGGTGCCCATGTGAATCTCTCCGGCACAGTAATCGCTTCATTGGTAGAAGTAGTTCTGTTCAACCATGTGGGCTTTAGGTTCTCACTAAATAACTGAATATCAGTTATCCGAGGAGGATCTGCACAAACACACTTCCACTCGTCTTCACACTCACCAAAGACTTTTCCAAGAAAGATGCTTTTGACCAGGTTGAAGTGGGTGTCCGAGGCCTCGGGCAGGCTGTATGTGGACACTGAGTAGTGGTCCAGCTGGAGAAGAGCAGAGAAGAATTGAACTATGGGGTCCCTCAGGTGGGTCAATGGATATAGGGATGGATATCAACGTGCTCGTCTTAGGATCTGGTAATGAAACAGGCCACTGTGGGCCGCAGCCTCTTGACGACGCGTCTGCGTTCCGTGACTTCACCCACCCACAAACACCCCCGTAGGTGGCACCAGGACATAAAACATCGTGAGCCCTTCACTGACCTTGTAAACTCAGTAAATGTGTAAATGTGTGCAGTCCGTTACACTACTAATAGGAGCTTCTCTTATCGGTTGTTTTTCATGATTGAAGAAACAGAGGTGAGTGTGAGGCAGGAAGCACCGACCTGCAGTCGTATCTCCCTAAAGTTCCTGCTGATGTTGACCGAGTGTGGCTGCCCGTTGGCCAGGTTACGGTGGTCCACATCTATGGTGTACGGCTCTGTTAGCCCACCAAGGCTGTAGCGGACCTGGAGGGTGCCTGGACACACACACACACACACACACACACACACACATAGAGGATCACAATAAACAATCCATATTGTACATATACATTAGGCAGTAACACATCGATGGGGTATGATGGATGAGCGCACCGTTGTGACGGAGCACCACAGCCAGGTAGTCCTGAGTTCTGGAGCTGATGTAGACCAGGATGCTGGGAGCACTGGAGGTGCTGAAGCTGAAGACCAGCTCTTCTTGAGTCAGGTTGGCCTCACCGGGAACGCCGACACTGGACACGCTCTTCATCTCCTGAAACGCGGGAGTTCCCCCTTCTGGCAGGAAGTCGTAACGCACCAGGGTTCCGGTCTCAAAGTACCCCCCTACATCTATAAGACCATCAAAACGAGTTCCATTATAAATTTTCATTACACTCAGTGTTGATTCGCCTGTATTTAATCATCTACACTCCTACCGTCAGTGCAGAAGGGTCCGTCGTACGCAGTGAGGGAGCAGTCACACGTGTACCCGTTGTACTTTTCTACACACTTCCCCCCGTTCCTGCAGTGCATCCCGTAACTGCTGCAGTGGCCCTGGCAGCCCGGATTCACCCCTGGAGTTACCTGGGCCCTCTCCTCCAGGTCAAAGGTCACACCATTTATCCTCAGAGCCCGCATGCAGCCCAGAAAACCCCTCTGACGATTGGAGGCCCCTTGGAAATAAAACATGAAGCATTGCAACATGCTGTTTTCACACATCTGCTCTACAGAGAGGAGGAATACTACTGTAGGACATCACGTGGAGAACGGTTCAGTGCACGAGGTGTGTGTGTGTGTGAGTCGTACCAACATAAAGCTCACTGTAGAACTCCAGTTTAGCGTGTCCCTGGGGCGGCGTGGATCTGACCTCTTTGTACTTCCCATCAAGCAGCAGCACCGCTTCCTTGATGTTCTTTTCAGCCTCCACGCGATGCCATTGGTCGTCATTTAGTGGCACCGGCGAGTGGACACTGAGCTCCACCCGCTCACTGCCCACATCGAAAGAGAAGAACACCCTGGAGCCTCCTGGAAGGACCACAATGAGACATTACTTTGGAACTACTGCAGCTAATGAGCTTTAAGTAAACTAATGTCTATTTTAAAGCACATGTCAATATACGCTTTTTACGTCAGGCCCTCAGCTTGGAAACGCCTAATTATGCATATTTATCTCAATCATAACTAATAACTTATTATTGCTTTTGCTCACATGTTTCCATAATTGTAAAGCATTAAGAAAAAGTTCTGAATGTTCTGTAAATTAGTCCCTTCAACAACATGGCCAAATAAAACCTTCTTAGAAGTAAAAACTTCTTTCTGCATGAAAACATTGCTCAAATCTAAATGTGGTCTTATCGGAGCCTCTCCTTAATACATTTTAATGACAGGTGTGCGTTCGTGAGTAGGTTTGAGTGAGAAGACACTTTAACAAACCCTCATTATGAGCTTTGATCTGCATTGATCAGGTTTCACACATTTAACTCTTATCTCAACAAGAAGATTCTTAAGGACACACAGACACACCTCTGAGCTCAATGTGAAGGAAGTCAGTGGTTCCCAAGTTCTCCAGAAAGACACCGTGAGTGGACGAAGTCTTAAAGTAGAAGGAGATGTCAGTGCTGGTTTCTCCTCTGAAGGACGGGAAATGCAGGTAGGAGGCGGGGCTAGTGAAGGACGCTGCATTCCAGAAGGACCCTTGAGACAACAACACCAGGATGATGAATATGAATGTTGATCCGATGAGCTCTACAGGGATGTGTGTGTGTTACGTATGAGAGAGAGAGGCGCTCACGGTCCCCCTGGCATCTGAGCGGCCCGATTGTCAGCTTGGCCTCGGATCCAGCTCTGCTCGCATCACCAACCACGACCTGGCTGACTGGCAGGTGGTCTTTATACACCAACAGGCCAGCGTCCTCCCTCCTGCACACACAGGGAGACAAACACCAGTCCATCAAGTCTGAATCGAGTAACAAAGGACCATTTCTAGAGCAGTTTGAGACCATGTTCTGATGAGAGATTTACAGGTAAAACCGTTCACAGCTTTGTGATTTACTTAATGATTGGTCTGTATTATTTGGCCATGCAGTAACATGTATGTATATAAACACACAATAACCTCTATTAAAAGTGTTTCATCGTAATACTACAGTAAAATTGTATTGGAAAATTCCTGTAAATTTATGGTTCTCGCATTTCATTTGAATTAAGATATTTTACCTTAATTTCACGGTTTTTGTTTGGCAGTCATTTGACCGTTATTTTACATGATTTGAATGTAATTTAAGAAAACATTAAAATACTTAATTACAGTATGTCTTCCAAAAAGAAATGAGAAAAAATGTAATTATTAGCATAATACTTAAATGTACAGTTGGACTGTTAATTTACAGAGAACATCTTTATTTTTACAGAGTTTTGTACATCATTTTAAAAAACTGAAAAACTAATGTAAAAATGTACAGTGTACATGTGCATATACAAATTGTACCTTCAACTAGCAGAGAATAAAAAACCTAACCACTCACCAGCTGCGCAGGTCGGCATCACAGTTGCAGTAGTGTTTGGGGTTAGTACAGTTGTGTTCGATACCACAGGAACACTTCTGTATGCCTGGTCCTGAACCCCCCCAGTAAGAATGCCTCTCATTGGATCTTCCTACCCACCAGGTAAACGGGACGCCGTCTGGGAGTCAAAGCGACAGCTTGGAGTCAGAGTACTTTCATTTCCATTAGATGGTAAACACAGAATAAACAGGCGTGTTGTCAGTGTTCTGCTCATTAATCTTTTAGACTGACACTATAGTCTATGGGTGAGCAAATTTAACAAAAAACGAATTGTTTATTAGTGACGGAGAAGCTGCAGATGACTCTACCAGGAGTGTTGAGCAGACGAGACATTCGACAGGCGTAGGCCACGAACTGGTCACAGTACTCTGCACTGCTGGTGACTGACAGCACCTGGAAACACACCCGGGAGAGAGGAGACTCACATCATTACATTACAGGTCATTTAGCAGACGCTTTTATCCAAAGCGACTTACATTACACTTTTAAACCCATGGCTTTTTCACATTTTTGCCCGGGGAGCAATTAGGGGTTAGGTGTCTTGCTCAGGGACACTTCGACGTGGAACATGGGGCAGCCTGGAATCGAACCAACAACCTTGTGCTTCCCAGCACACCTTCTCAAACCCCTGCGCCACGACGACCCCCATCACTCGAGACACTTTGGATACGAGCTTTACAGACTGCTTTGTTTCTGTGGTTGTTCCTACATTCAGAACATTAAGAAGACTCAAAGTCCCAGTTGTGTGAATGTTGATCCGTCATGAGCGACTAACTGACAAGATCCAAAGGAGCACCTTTCCGCGTACCACAAAGACATGGCAGGACTTCCGTTCTAATACCTGGATCTGTTCATTGCATTCTAAAGAACTAATGTGGTAATAATTGTTATATATATATATATAATAACTAATTGTTGTAATATAGTATATATGTGTTGTATATCTGTATTTATTGAAGCTTGTATACGTAGTATGCGGAGTGCTGATATAGGAGCTAAGGTCCACCTGTGCAGAGAATCTCTCTCTGTCTGTGAGGAAGGAGTGTGCAGCTTGCAGAGCGCAGTAATGTTAATGGGGGAGGCAGGGGCGGGGGGGGTAACAGCTAAAGAGGGAGACGAGGAGCAGCAGAGCCTGTGTAGATTTACTCTGATAACAGCATCTCTCTGGTGGGACGGTCACCATCAGATAGCAATAGCAAGAAAGAACCAGAGGGAGGTCTCCTGCCTGAGGAGGTTCATCCACAGGATCACCAGGGGCGGCAAGGGTACAGCTGAAGAGTATGGATTGGCTGCTGGCTCATCGATTGGACCAATGTGATGTTATATGTGTTGTGTTTTGTTTTTTTCTAAGAAAATAAAGATTTTTGAAAATCAAAAATCGCGTTATCTCTCTCTCGAACTGACCTTCTCTGAGCTTTGCTTACATGCTTTACCTCGGCCAGAACTCCATCACAAAAGAGATTTTACAGCTCAATAGTATTAACCAAGCCAAATAAAGGTAAATAATATTAAAATATTGTAATGTGCCTTACTAGAAATTACGTATTGCGAATGTTGTACAACTTCCTGTATCCACTATAACGCGCTAGAGAACTCACATGTTCACAAGTTGTGTTCTGTATGTCATATAAGGCTGACAGGCAGATGGAATTATGTAAACAAAAGCATCCGGGGTCACAGCAGAACATGCCGATTGGCCTGCCCTGCCACAGCGACACAGCCACTTTCTGACCTGTCGGCCCCATTGTGTTGGTGGATGTTAGGTACTGATGGGCAGTATGAATGAAGTCTGTGGGTGTGAAGGGTGAATGATGCCATTTAGTGTTAAAACCCTTTAAGTGCTAGCAACAGGAGATATACAACCCATTAAAGCACCTACAATAGCATATTGTCAGATGACCTATGACATCATTGTTCCAAGTCAAGACTAATCATCAGCAATTGAGAACACGTAGGTTGGGAACTTAAAAGTAAATAAGGGCTTGAAGAGTTTCAATAAAATACAGATCTAACAAACTTACAAAGCTAATTAAGGCAATTTTAATATGTTCAAAATTATGAGAACAAATGTGGCTGATACATTTTGTGGATATCGTAATTACGTTCCAACAAAGGTCTTCCCTAAATGTGTTAGTTTGAAGTTAAAGGTTCATATCATGAAACGTAAATATATCTCTTGGAGGAGTTCCAAAAAGCCCCATAACTGTAAACTGCCTTAAACTGTAACAACATAGTGTTACATTTGTAAATATGGTAAATGTACAACAGCTTCCTGCTTCATGGCAGATAATGCGTTGACATGGCAACGGCGATCTCTGAGAAGGAGAGAGCTCGGCCACAGGTCTGCAGTAGAGACCTTTTCCTGCCTCCGTCCTTCTTTAGTTGAACTGTTTGAATTGTTTACCTGTTCATCTGTCACATTGTAAGTGATGTGCAGAGCTGCCTTCCCTTCCTGGTTTGTACTGGTGACTGATGTCTGAGGAGATAGGTTGTTCTTCAGCACGGTCCAAACTCTCTCCTCTAAAAGATCAGAACAAAGGCTGTTATTATTCCCACACGTCTTGGACCAAAGATGCATTTGTACTGTACAATATGTTAGCAAGAACTTGTACAATATGACAGATGCATGACAATACACTCAATTCGCAAGAGATTAACGGTCAGGTGACTGCAGCCTTTGCCGTTCATGACGGGATCGGACCCTGAACCGCATCCCAAACGTTGTCTTCCCGCTCATCTCTTCCCTCGTGTTCAATAGGCAGCAAGAAGCTCCATCTGCTGCCTCACCCGACCCGATGGCTGCTGTTCCCCTTCATTCCTTTCCTGTTGGTCCAATGGCTGTCAGCAGTCTCCATGTTGACTGTGCAGGACAACTTTGGCAGTCGGCCTCGACTGGGAATAGCCATGCTTCACAGTCGATGAAAAAAGATAAAACAATAAGTGGATCACCCACAACATGAGCAGAAGGAGGTGGGAGGACATTGAAAGGCAGAGGAATGCAGCTCCCTGTGATCCCTCTCTTCCTCATCCATGCTCTCATTCCCCTGCACTGCGGATCCTCCCTCAGGCACCACATGCAGGTGTGTTGGTGTTGGAGTCTGTGGTACTGGAGATGTGAAAGGCTTCCAGCTTCCATTGTGATGCAAGGTCGCAGCCATTGACCCCTCCTGCTCATCTTCTGAATGGCGCATTTCATTCTGCGTCTTTTGCTCGTGTCCGCTTGTCTTTCAGTGAGTGGGCTTGAGCTACTGATGCCTTGAGCTCGTCTTGTTCGTCCTGCCCTGGTCTCTGTAGACATGAATCTGGACTCCCCTGGGGAAGACTCTCCAGGATGGTTTGCTCTTCTAGATGTTTCCATTATACTGACCTTTGAGTTGACACGCACAGCTTAATCTCTGAGCATCATAATTTAGTCTCCAAAATTGGGCTTCACCACACAGAGTTTTGGTACCTGGAGGGTCTTTGGTGAACTTAGTCTGAACAGGTGCACCCACCTGGAAGTCATCGGTTGCCCAGCTAAAGATATAAATATAAATATTTGTGCTGGGCAACAATTACAACTTATATTAATGTAATTGCGATCAATCATTCAAGCATTCAATCAAGCATTATTATCTGCCATTAATTACATTAAATTGCATTGTTATGAGCAAAATAAAATAATATATTTCCCACTGTTAGAGCTAACACTTTAAACAAATAAGGTGCTTTTCAACAGCAGATTTAAAATTGAAGTATTTATGTATTTCTCAACTAAAACATTAATGTAATAAAATCAATGCCAGCAGAAACATGTTGATTGTATCAGGTAGCAGCATAAACAGTATATACAGTATAAGACATAATAAGCTTAGCCGGATACTAAAATGTAGTCGTAAAATCCTTGAAACCAAGCATTGACTAAATCTGTTCTGGATAATTGTTTTTACCCAGAGTAGGTTGTGGAACAAATCGAATGATCAGATCAGTAACATCTTCACAGTGGCCTCTCACCTGCCATGTCACAAGTGACTCTGAAGGGGCTGATGAATCCACTGCCGTCTGGGTCGATCCAGTAATTCCCTGAACTCTTCCCCTGGTGCTTATACTCCTCACAGGACTGCTGATACATCGCTAAAGAGGACACACACAGATTAGAAGACCCAAAGTACTCTGTGTGTGTGTGTGTGTGTGTGTGTGTGTGTGTGTGTGTGTGAGCACACTCACATCGATGGCAGGTTGCTCCGGTGTATCCAGTACCGGTACAGTTGCAGCTGAATGTATTCCATGTCTGAGAACAGCTCCCACCGTGCTCACAGTGATTAGGAACACACCTGACACACAGACACACAAGGGAAGACAGTCCATGTGAAGCCGGGCAGAATGCAGCAGGGACCCGTTTCTTATGAATGAAACGTATCTGAAGTTTATCAATCTGACTGAGTTGTATACCTATCGATAATGGCACACATATCCAGGCTGATATTTTCAAAGGACCCAGCGAGGTCCTGCTCCAAAGCCCTGAGGTCAGCGAGATGGTCATCAATGTGGATCATCTGCATGCATCCCTGGAATGAGCGCTGCAGGGATCGGGTGTTGGTGTGCAGGAAGTTACCTGGAGACAAGCGCAGTAGGTCGAAGGTTATTATTACAACCAGCGGAGAAATGAAGAACAGTTTGTCTATTGCTGCGTCTTTCATTCACTTTCTGTCCCCCGCATGTGGCCAACAAAATATAAATATTTTAACAAAATATTTGAATGTAGTTAACATGCGTTGTTTACTTCCGGACCGGAAGTCCAGGCTGTAAACCTGAAGTTGACTACAGAAACGAAATGGCCGCAAGCGGCAGTCAGTTACATCAAGATGGAGAGAGCTTTTAGCATTTAAGCTAGCTGCTAGGCTTCTTCCATCTCAACGTCTAACGTTACCCTGCGCGGCACACAGTCTGCAGAGGACCAGCACTGTGTCTCTAGAAGGCCGTGGTTTGAAAACATCCTGGCTAAATGTGGAGAGATTGTTGGCACTTCAAACACAGCCGTTAAATTATGGAGAGTTAAGAGCAAAGTGCACGAGCACTGCTGGAAAATTCTGGCTCCAAGATGATTAAATGTGTGTAGTTTTGTGTTTAAGATAACATAAACAATTAAACAATAGTGTGATTACTTTTAAGATTTAATCTTAAGAAGAAAAACAAACATTCATTAAAAACAACACTGTAACAACAACATTCATTAGTCGCCATTAATCAAGATTAATTAATCTCAAAAGGTGCGATTAATTAGTTAATTTTTTCAAATGTATTGACAGTGCTAATTACAATCTATTTGTCCCTAATGACTTGATATCAGTGTTTTCTCGTTCTGTTACAATTAGTGCAATTTATAAAAATAAAAAAAATGTATTGGGTCCTGGGGACCCGGGTCAAAGCCAGCCTCTCCGTGACTACTCTGAAGTTTCCGATGGTCACCTACTCTAGGAAGCACCTCAGAGGCCCCAGTAGATGATCCTTTTTATGTGAAAGATATTGGTGGTTAAAAATGGTCATTTGTCATTTGGTTGAAGAATCACCTCCAAAGTAGTAGGTTCCTCCAGTCTGAATCTGGATGGGGATGGCTGTCCTCACTGTGGAGGCCTCGTCTCCATCCACTGTCAGCATAGCATAGTTCTCCAATGCATTCAGATGGACACTGTGCCACTGGCCATCATTTAAACCTGAACCTGCAAGCGTAAAAATGACAACAGTAATTGAAGGCAAATAAAAATGGCAACAAATTGAACTAACCCACAGTTCCTGGACTTAAATTCTGAAGAGCATTCTGCCGAGCTCACCTGATGAAATGTCAATACGTGTGTTCTTCTTTTGTGTCACATTCATGTAGACTGTGACCTTGCCCTCTGTCAGTCCCACCTCGACCCAACCATCAGCCAGGGCCGTGAACATCAGCAACCCGTTGGGGTTCCACGTCCTGAAAGACAAACTGACTGACAGAGTGTCGCTGTCACTCTGGCCGAGCAGCCGCAAGAAGGATGTCGAGTTGAAGAAGACCGAGAAGGAGTTGGACTCGGCACACGAAAACGTCAGGTTACGCTGTGAAAGAGGCAAAGAGGGAGAAAGGATTTTACCTTCGTGCACCAACACAAATCACAAGCTCTATTCACACAACTTTGAGGCAGTTTAGTTGTTTAAGTCCTGTTGGGAGCTTTTTGTGAGTTCATTTGGAATAGAATAAGTAAGAATAGTAACATATTTCCTTATTTTTATAACCAAAAAGCATAATGTGTGCATTGAGTAGAAATGAGTCCATCAGCTATCCAGGAGTACGGCTCCAGAGCTGAGGCTGTGCATGGAGGTAAGCCCCACCAGATCTCACTGATAGCGCTCCACCTTCCACACAAGCTCCAGCTTAGGGCTCGCCGGTATACCGGTTTCAAATTTCCATACGGTATGACTTTTTCATATATCGTCATACGTAAAAAACTGGCAAAATATATCGTTCGCGGCGCAGCAGTCGGAGCTACTTGTCTAACGTGGAGCGACCAAGGGGAATGTAGGCGAAAACAAACAGGAAGATGTAACCGGACGGAAGGCACGCCACACAAACGAGCGGTGTAAAGTGTACAGTTGGCCGGCGGCTCTTGTTGGCGTCAATGAATGAATCTGTTAACTCGGAAAAAAGTACAGTGATAACCCCCCCCGGAAATAGTGTCTTGCACCTTGGACCTTAGTGCTGCGTTTGACACTATTGATACTTGCATCCTGTTGCAGAAACTAGAACATTTAATTGGTATTAAATATATTATTTTATATTACTATTAAACTCAGCTGGTTTGAGGCGTATTTATATTGATCCCAAGTTATGTTTGAAAACAGTGAAACCTTGATGACTACCAATGTTGGTCACAGGGTTCTGTGTTTGGAGGGATTTGATTTACAGAGTATGCTTCCTTTAGGCAACGTTATCGGAAAATGCAATTGTTATACTCAATTATTAACTCACAGATAAGATACTTGAAGGATACTTGATCACCTATCACGTCAGGCACTTTCTTTCTCAAAGTGATGCAGAAAAATTGATGCAACTAGATTACTGCAATTATTTTTCATAGAGCTTCTCTTATAAGTCTGTTAAGCCTTGATTCAGAATGCTGCAACACGTGCATTAACAAAACTTACTCCTGGGTCATTCTACAGAAAAGGTGGAATTCAGGTTTTCTGAAATGTGATTCTCCTTTCATACCAAAAAACTTCAGAGCCAATCATAACAAAGTTACCTTTCTGCTTATATTGTGATGCAGGTCCAGCAGAAAATAAATGAAGGTGTTGTACATCAGGGTTTTGTCCCCTTACCACCTCCAAGATGCCTTCTACTCGGTGAGATGGTGGTTGGATGTGCTTGAGCACACAGTGTCTCTACATGGGACAGTAGAAGTATGAGCCGACGAGCTATCAAACGGGCTAACGGCTAGCACCGCGTACCGCCGGAAGCAGCAGTCATCAAGACCTGTTCCCGTAGAAGTCGGTGAAATTCACCAAGCCTACGGATGCTATTTAGAACAAAAACCCGACACCGTTTGGTGGTCCGACGTCAGTAGACAAGCTTCTATGGGCCTAAACTGCTGGGGGATTTCCGAGGACACACAGAGCGTCTCTCTCTCTCTCAGTTGTATCCGGACCCTGGTTCTGCCTCCTGCCGTGACCCTGGTGACACCTGCTGCTATGACCCTTATTATTATTATTATTATTATTGGCATTACTATTGCTGATTCGATTACCTTGCGCTGATGTGATGATTTCGATGTGATGGTTTCGGGACAGAGGATGTCGCATGTATACAGATTGTAAAACCCTCTGAGGACAATTTACAATTTGCGATTTTGTCTATACAAAATAAATTGAATTGAAGAAAATCAGTGGCTACACAAAGTACATTTAATTGAAGTGAATTCAATGAATGAGGTCTGTTTACCACTAACAAACATACACACATGCACACAACACACACTTAAGATAAAGTTGTCTTACAAAGCTTGAGGTGTCCACCTTCTTCCTGCGGACCAGGTTAGTGATGTTGTCTCCGTTGTAGGTGATTCCCTCCATGCAGCCCACAAAGTTCTCTCTTCCTCCTGAGCTGGGCTTCGCTGATATAGGAAGGCCTCCAAAACTTATCTGAGCACAACGCAGAGCAGAGCAATATGGACGATTGACATTGATGTTCACAGTACGTCTGCAACCAACACACACTTTAATCAAACTTCACTTTCAATTCAGAAAAAGGAACATTGTAATGAAATAAAATAAATAAAATGGTATTATAGCACACAGTGTACAGCTAGTCTCAAGACTAAGTCAATATTATACGTTTTCACTCTCTGAATTTTGGTTTTGGAACAATGAAGTATTTGGAATTAGCAGCAATTTATTTTCATCTGTAAACTTGTCATGAATAAAAGTCACAACGGCTTCATTAGACATAATCGCAGACTGGTAGAAACCGGACGATGTCACGCTAGAGGCCTCTCAACCATAACGTACGTCGGGTGCTCATTTACACACAGGTGGACTGTTTCTATTATGCTCTTCTCACACACATCGAAGCTACAGAAAAGACATTACCTCATAGTCCAGGTCCAGGTGGTCAAACTCTCCATTGGTCCTGAAGTGCTGGGTGTGATGGTCCAGAGTGAAGTTCACATTCCTTCGGTACCGCTCTATGACTACCGAGTGCCAGTGGTCGTCATCCAGCAGGCTCCCACTGGTCACAGAGGTGTGACCCTGAATGGAACCGTACTGGTTGCTGCCTGGAGAGAATTGTGCAAAGCACATGGACGGGAGCAGGTCATTAATATTTGTCAGCACAAGACAATTAAGTCCTTAAGATGTCAAAGGAGTGCGACGGGCTTCCTCTGTCCTTGAAAGCACGTCAGCTTCATAGAGAGCTACCTAAGTTGATGCTGAGCTGCAGCCTCGCCCTGCGCAGCTCTAAGGAAATGTAGTCCCCCTGCTGTCCCTCCCCGTGGAGCACGACCCCGTCTCCAGCGGTGGTACGAAACTTCAGAGAGATGACGTCCTTCACAATTTTGATCTTCTTACTCCTGAATCGGTAGGAGATGACACCATTGCCGTCAAAACTTATCACATCTGCCCCTGGAGGAAAAAAGAGAAAAGGGTTTTAAAGTAAAATATATATATATATTTCAAACGTGGCGAGCACCTTTTCACGATGCAAGCTCTCCTCGCTCTGGGACCGGGGCACAGAGGTTCTAACCGCATACTGAAGGTTTGACGCTTGCCAGAAAGGTGGAGGGTTAGAAGCAGAAAGCCTACACAGCGTCCGACGCAAACAAAACACACACCTCTACCGACTACACCTGGACTAGGTAGCACTTACTGGAATCATCGATGTTCAGGTCTGGACCCCCTTGGTTGAAGGCATTTGGGGCATTTAGTCAAATAGAAGATGAAGGAGTGTCTATTTAGAGCGTGACTAGATTGTGATTTACACATTGCCACCTTCAAGACGCTATACAGCCCAGCTCTTGATGGGTGGGTGAGATCTAAGCCTGGCAAAACACTCTCCATCTACAGGATTGCAGGACTTGTGAATGAGGCCTTCTTGTAGGCAGTACACCACGGAATATCACTTCTGGATTCAAGTACACTGGGATTTTCCCACATAACTATAATTTGAATGTTAATTAAAACATTTTGAATTATATTATGTTGTATATGATTTCGTTCAGTTACTTTCAAGTGTTGCTCAAGTGCTCAATTGACCAATCCCCATGATTCTGTTACTAGTCCGATTTTGTTATGGTAGTTTTAAAGTGGAAAAAGTAAGCAGCTCAGTTTACCCCCAGCTGGTTCACTTTACCCCCTTGAGTTGATTTCCCTGGGCTGTCTTTCCCTGGAGGTTACCTCCCCACACTCCCCCCTTTTCTGGCAGAGAACTGTGGCCTCAGAGCTGAAAGTACTGACTCTAATCCCAACGACTCGGCTGCTGTTCACGTTCTGAAGGAGCCAATAGAACTTCTTCATCAGCCCGACAAACCATGTACGCCTTTTCCAAGTCCACAAAACAAATACAGTATAAACTCAACAACTTCCACGACCCCTCCAGCAGACCTGCAAGGAAAGTGAGACACAGGCATGTAGATCCGCGGGGGTTTTATTGCAGCAATAACCCCTTCCCAACAGGTTGTCCACTTACAATATGAGCAGCCATACAGCTCCAGGCGTAGTCCAATGCGTCCCTCCCTGCTCCAGTCCACTGGGATGAAGCGGATGTAGTGAGCTAAGATGGCGTGCTGCAGCTCATGGCGAACGACACCGTGACTGTTGACGTTGCCCTCAAATGTCTGAAACACACAGAAACCAACATGCTGCACATCACTGGAAACAAGGTGCACACATTCTAATAGCGTGGCCTGTTCAACTTTCTATATGAAAAATAAATCAAATGAAACTGTGATTATTTTATCAGATCAATTACAATTCTCCAGTAAAATAAAGACTACAACTGCCTTTCATGGGTACAGAGAAATATACAATATTATCGCCATGGAAAGATTTATTGCAATATTTATGGTAAAATACATTTATGTTCACGCCATGATATAACCATTCTTGGTTTCTCAAAGTTTTAATACAAAGGGAGAGATCAAACTTCTGTACTTCATATACTTTCACTGATTTCTGCAGTACCGCGTGCTATCATCAGCATGATGAGCCATGAGACTTTTAAAATGATAAACCACTGTTGTTTTTCTTTACAGTTGGGAGTTAGTGCAGCTACTACATTAGTTTGTTTGTACATTTTTATCTGTAACATTTCTGAAGTTGTGTTGCCATTGTAACCTTTAGTGCACCTGAGAAATCCTCCCTGCCGCTACTGAAGAGACTAAGCTTAAGTTTAAATGAGAGGGTCTGAGAACACATGACATAGAATTCTTCCTCACCCAGATGTTTCCATCCTGTAAATATGGCCTCCAGTTTTTCTGTGTGTCGCTGTAAAGCAGCCGATACTTGCTAGTCCAGTCAGAGCTGCCATAGCGACCCTGTGTCACTATGGCAACCACCTGCTTCCTAGAACCCAGGTTCACCTGTAACCACGGGTAACGGTCTGTATCCAAGGGGGACCAGCCTCCAGCACCTAGTTTTATGGGTGTTGTAGGGTAGACACAACGAAAGATTGAAGAAAGGGAAAAGGAACAGAGAGGAATGTTGACCATTGTGGAACATTTGGGAAAAAAGCAACATTTTCTTCTATTGAAGTAAATTTCCCACCCCAAAAACCAAAAATGTGTTAGTTAATATAGAAAAAAAATTATATTCTTTTCACAAATGTTCGCAACATTATAATTAAGTGAACTGTAAAATAATTATTGATTCTATACAACTTCATATTTTAAGATTTATTTGTTAATTGATAGATATTTTATTCAGTTATGGAATAAAACTCTTATTATATGTTATATAAGTGTATAATATATTTTAGCAATGCTTAATTGTTAAAATACATTTTTCATTTCAAAAAAAGAAAATGTATTATTAATAGTTATTCTGTTATTCTACAGGGATCTATTGGTAAATACAAAGTTATTTAAAAAATAAATGTAAAATGCTTGTAAAATTACAGGTTAATATGAGGATAGTTTGTTGCCACTTAAAACCTTGATTAATACTGTACATATTTATTTGTTGTAGAATTATGAAATTCATTGATAAAAGGATTATACATACGTGTCATGTTATTATCAGGTATGTTAACTTCAGTGCCAGCTGTACTGCAGATGTTTCGCTGGGTTTGTCTTTTAAAACCAATCTGACTTTCTAGAGTACATAAAGGTCCCTAATAGTATTTACAACCGTACCACTTTTTCCATTCTTTACTACCATTTACATCACAATAGACACTGCCCAAAACTAAAATACAGAAGCACCAGGGGGTCCAGGGTAAACCATGACATCATATAATAAGGTAAAAACATCACAAGTATGTTTGAATAAGGATCTTTGCTCTGTACCGATTAAACAGTAAACAGTTTTATTAAACAGTTATCATTGAACAATTGAAAGGAGTGAAATCTGTAACACTATCTGACTTTTGGGCAGAAATGGGCAGTTTAATACACGTCCTCTATTCAGCACAGTACAGCCGGGGAATGTGAAAAGCACATTTCAAGAGTGAAATACAGTGTCTTGTTTTAGTGCAAAGATACGTGAAAGAGCTCTACATTCTCGACAAAGGGCAAACCTTGTTGTCTGTTGAGTTTGGCGTAACCGGCTCCGTGTCCTCGGGCGTACGCTGACGAGCTGGTGAAGAAGCTGTAGGGGAGAGGAGTGGCCAAGCTGTCCTCGCACTTTCCTGAACCACAGGGACGAAAAGCAGACAGAGTTCAGCTAATCATCGGCTGGGAGGCCAATGTGCATACGTATGTCCCATGACTTCTCCTGTCGAGTACCACGGTTTGACAGATCAGCAAATACCAGCAAGAACTAATGACATTTCAAAAATGTACTTTTTCTTTAATGCTCATTGGCAAACTTTACCATGTTAACGTAATAATCTAAAATAGAGCTTATGATAAACCTGACCGGCGCGACCTCCTGCATGTTAGTAATGATGACATCACGGATCAGAGCGGCTGATCATACACTGATGCGATGCCGCCTCCCCACGATTCTGATTGAAGGACTACATACAATGTATTGATTTAATCTAATGTCAGTTTGTGTCTGTCTACATGATCCACATGGACCCAAAAAGGGAACATAAACACTGACACATTCACTTTTACACACTTTTACATTGTACAGCAGTGATTTGCTAATAATCACACCTACTCATATTCCTTTACTGATATTAATAGCATAGATGAGTGTATTGTGACTGCTTTGAGCATTTTGATTTAACTACATTTAGAATCGGCCAATAGTTTGTAGATATGAAGGTAGATTTGTGTCTTCTTATGCAGAAAAAAAACTGTTTTGAGAGCAAATTTCGTTTGTAGTAAAAATATATAAACTGAGAATAAATTATTTGTTAGTTTTTCTTATGAAACAAGAATTTTTGGCTACAAAATGAAAAGTTTGCTCTCAAAAAAATAAAGTTTTGGTCTCAAATACTTTCTAATATTACTTATGTTATTACATTACATGTCGTTTAGCCGACGCTTTTATTGATTTTAAGCGACTGAGTGCATTTCAACCATAAGGGTACAAACTCAGAAGAACAAGAAACAAGAAAGTGCAATTTCATTAAATAGGCCGATCTACAACTTGCTATAGACAAGAGCCGTTACAAGTACAATTTAAGTGCTACAGTTTGTTAGTCTTTTAGTGGAAAGTAGAGTGGAGAAGAGGTGTGTGTTTAGTCTGAAGATGTGAAGGCTCTCTGTGGTCCTGGTGTCTTCAGAGAGCTCGTTCCACCATTTAGGAGCCATATGTATTTACATCTCTTATATTACAGCTGTAAGGAATTTGTCAGTGTAACTTAAATTTACATTTATTATGATAAGCACACGTCCCAATTTGAGGATAAACACATTTGATAGTATAATTACTTTTGGGGTTGTCTTTGATCCTGTAAACTGAATACTGTAACAGGTTTGGAGATACTTTCCATCTGAGCGTCCATAAACCATTACACATATGATATAACTTAATTACATGTCCTTCTATGGGTCCATAGTCGGTGGTTTTTCTAAGTGGAAACACTTTCTTGGTCTCCCATCTTTTCAATGTCAATAATCCCTCACAGAGTGTCTTGACTCATTTAGCCGACATATGACAATAACCTACTTCTTACATCGAACAGTTATCTTTGTCGGTATCCTTTTGCGACTCTGCAGTACATTGTGTTCATCCTACTCTTTGTGTACACGCTGTGAATATATTTCTATACATCTTGTCATGAATTATTTGTGTGTGCACATCATCGAATATCGAAGTTCTCCAAGTTCCCAAGGAATACAATTTAAAAAGCAGTAGATCAAAGCCATGTGTGCTGTGAATAGTACATGGTCAGAAATGGATTTACGTCCGTCTTTGTTCTCCACACCCTCAGCAGAGTGGATGTGGGAGTTTTGGGTGGGTGAGGGGCCGCGGATCTGTCTGCGTGTGCGACAGGTGCTGCGTATGCTAATGAGCCTCCTAATATGCATCACAAAGCAACACGCCAAGCATGTGTCGGGCAGTTCGAAAGGACCAACAAACCACTGACATATCTTTCTCACAGCAACATGTTTGCTCTCCTCTGGTCATTTCAACAATGACGATTATTTATTACTATTTATATTCAAATCACATCAAGAGGGTAACGAGTTAAATATAATAGAACTTTTTCTTTTTTAACTTTCTTTGCCCTTAAATCCAGAACTATAATGATGAACGTGCTGATGCAGCGGTTAAAACCTGTCCAGGGCATACGGACTGTGACTGAAGCAGTACAGAGATAAGGGGGGGGGGGGGGGGTCCCAAATCAGAGATGATGTGAGTCTTTAACTATATAGTTGGATCATTCTTGTGATGAAGTTCAAACCTAATCAACGCTTGAAGTAGGTCAAATATTGTGCTTGTTGGCCTTTTCCATCCACCACACCACACATTTACTCATTTTGCAGAATAAAACTTTTAAAATTGCTAAAAAATAGTGGAGAGCCAGGAGATTCACATCACTCTAATGAAATGACATGAAACTGAATAACGATATTATTTAAAATAACACCAATCCCGTTCTAGAAATCAGACTTGTATAAAAGCAGTGTTATGTTGTTGGTACTCATTTCACAGATGAACTCTCAGAGCTCAGAGCTCCCTTTACATTTGTTCATGCCATGTACCTCATCTCCCCCCGACCCTGTAGGCCGGTTTGTTCGCCCGACCCCGTGAGCACAAAACGAATGAATATTAAAAAGAATAATGAGCCTCTCATCTGTCAGAAGCGAGGGAACCGTCACAAGCATTGCACACATTCCTGGTCGTTCCCTTACTGACCTGCACTGATTGGACTCACACAGAGTTGCTTTTGAATGAAATCAAATGTGTCTGTTAGTAAGGTAGTAAGAATTGCTTATTAGCACTACCGAGTTTTCGGTTAGCTCCCGTGGTCGACCGGCATGCCTGGTGACCGCACGTGATTTCTGTTCAGTGGCAGGCGATGTACCAGCACTGCCTTGGCCATCGGCCGGCTTACATTCTGAAACCTAATTCTCAAACATGCACAAGATTGATTTCATCAGATACATCCAGGTCAAACAAATCTGATGAATGAAAGGGAAACCTCAGATATCCAATTAAGAATGCTTGGAAAGCAAAAGAAAAGGAGGGTATGTGGTACCACCAATGAAAGGTCCCGATGATCTGTGACTCTTACACGGAATTGTTAACAGTGAAATGAATTGAATTGAATTGAATTGAACAGTAAGAATCAACAAGACAAAGACACTGTTGTTATGTTACCATTGTTCATACAAAACATAAAACCACCTCACAAAAAGGGTTGCAGGCTAAACCTTTCCCAGCATTCACTGGTAGTGAAATGCATCTGGTCTACATTGAGAATATGATATAAAATATGCAAAAAGATGAACAGGCCTGGTCCCTGACTTGTCCGTCGCCAGTCCCTGCCTGGCCCCTTACTGGCCTCTTACTGGCCTCTTACTGGCCTCTTACTGGCCTCTGGCTTACTGGCCAGTTCCTGGCCAGTCCCTGATTGGTCCCTCACTTATTCACTTATTAGTTAATCTGTTATTAGTTTATTCAATTGTTCCGTCGAGAACAGACATTCTGTGAATGTATCTTTACGCTTATGAAATGCTTAAAACCACTGTAGGTATTTTTTAAATCGGGACAATTTATCAAAACCAGCTTTACAGTCATACAGCAGGCCGACCACATGTGGCTGGGTAGCCAACATTTTATAATTCACAATGCGAATGTCTTTGTTGTTGTTACTTGTGTTGTTGCCAATGTCCAAAAAGAAGCATAAAAAAAGACAATGTTTATTAATTCACCAGGCCGCTTGTTATTTCGGGCAGTCTCTCATGGTTAAAGCAACTTGACTATTGATGATCTTTATCATAACACACCAAGTACAATATTAAACACTGAAATCACAGTATCCACATGTGTTACTCTGTAATGTGGTATTACTAGTTTATGAAGTGTGTATACAGTGAGTAGACCTGTTAAATAGGGGGGCGGGGGGTGTGAGGGTCACTGCATTTCTATGAATAATGAATGAATGAATAAGATGGTCAGTACGGGATGGAGAGTACTGCCATGTTATTGATATGCCTCCTACACACATCTGACATGTGAACTGTGGTGCTTTCCAGTTCAGCATTTTCTAGATGATATGTTATTTAAACAGACGAGCATGAGTCTGACTCCTGTCCTGCTGCAAAGACCGATGCCTCGATGAAGACTCCCTTCAATAAGAAAGATACCGTCATCATTACACAACACGCATCTCCTCGTGGACTGGTGCTCTGGTATCATGCTGAGTCCTGGCTGTGGTCCATGCACTGGCCCCAACAACAGCTAGCTACCAAATTAGCCACAGTGTGTGTGTGTGTGTGTGTGTGTGTGTGTGTGTGTGTGTGTGTGTGTGTGTGTGTGTGTGTGTGCGTGCGTGTGTGTGTGAGAGTGAATTAGCCTACTTACGGGATGCTGAGGATGCGGCGCTGGAGGGGCTGGTGATGCTGCACAGGGCTGCAGGCAGCAACAGCAGCCTGGTCACGGACGACATCCTCGCAGACAATGAAGCGGCTGCCGGCGGCTCTCGGCGCGGTGGTCCCTCCTGCCTGTCCGTTGTTCTGAAGGAAACAAGCAATGGCCCTCTGCCCGCTGCGCTCGGTGCGTTTGGTCTCCTCCTTCCTCTCTTACCCTCCTGCTCAGAGGCACTGCGGCGGGGTTTGACCGGAAACCTCCGGAATTAGCCTGTAAACCGAACACCGTAATCTGCGGGCCGAGCCTCGCTCTCCAGGTGCATGGTCAGACGGACTGGGGCGATCCATTTTAGCTGCAGAACCAATCAGTCCCCCCCCCCACGCTCGACCACACTTGGTACGGTCCGAAAGCAAAACGAGCACAGAAATCATTGATTAAAACTGTTGATAAAAATGATCGTGTAATGTTTTTAAGTGATTTTACGGTGTTAAAGTAAACGTTAGCTCCTTACCTTCTCGAGACAAATGCCGTCTTAATTATCAAAGTCAAAATAGTCTTAACCAAGAGTTTTTCGTGGAAATTAAACTCATTGAAACTAAATTGAATGGGATTTTAAAGGGTATATTATGGAGAGGCGTGGCAATTTTAATATCACAAAAAGTATAATTTGAATGAATTTAAAAGGTATTAAAATTAACCTAATAAAACATTTGATAGAAATGCAGGATATAAACTAAATCTTCAAAAAACACACAACCTGACTTTTAACTGTACACCCGAGAATTCAACTTAAAACTACCACTCCCAAAAGAGGAAGGAGGAATGGCCTCACCAAATGTTAGGGATCGCTTTATACTATCCAGATTAAACAATTAATCAACATGTTTACCCCAAATTATTGTCGTAGGTGGAAAGATATTGAACTCTCGATTATGAATGATCCCCCAATTCATTGGCACACGAAACTTGGGAAAGCTTATAGACAATTAAAAAAAAACATTAATTGATTTCCAACTCCATATGTGGAACAGGATAAGAGAAAATAAACAAGATCATAAACTACAAATAGTTCGATGGTGGGCTTACGATCCGGGAGTCAAACCAAATTAAATGGATCATAGATTTAAGTCCTGGATCCCAAAAGGTATGACAACATTTTATTCCCTGACAGAAAGGGAAAACTAAAGGACTTTCAACACCAGTCCCTAGATAATACACAGGCCTTATTGTCACTGTGTGGTTCACGTCCTGTCTTATTTTGTACTTTTATGCCACTCGTGTCCCCGGGTAACTTCACTTCCTGCCTTGTCCTGTCATCCCCTGTGATTGTCTGATCGTTTCCACCTGTGTCCGATCCCTGCACCTCCCTTGTGTATTTAAGCCGTGTGTCTCTTGTGTCACTTGTCGCGTCATTGTCTATCGCCTTGGAGGTTCCTCGTTCCTGCCTGCCTTTGGACGCCATACATATTTTTGTTGTGAATATATACTAAATATTTTTAGTATACATACACAACTCAAAGGGTCGCCAGATCATTGATGTTGTCTGGCCTTCACAAAAGGATATCTGGCTCTAACACATCCAAATAGTATAATAAAAGTTCTTTCATTTCAATTTGTGTATAACGCCACCTGCTGGACCGTTTGTTAAACTCTTCTCATGTCAATAACTTGCTGACACTGGCTGATGCAATGGGATTTAACTGTGCACACATGTATACTATAATAACATATGGTCTAGCTTGTTCATTTCAAATGCTATACTATATAATTCTATATTTGGAAGAGACATTCCTCCATTATCCTTTGAGGCAAAGAGCTTATTGATTCTAGTTTCTTTTGTTATTCCATAAAAAATCCTTAATTAAGTGACTAGTCTTTAAAGACCCCTTCAGAGATGGTTACTGGAATCATCATGGAAATAAATTGTCGGGCCACCATCGCCGCGCAATACTTAATACTCCTTACATACTCAAGGAGTATTTAAACACGTCAAATGAACTCTAAACACCAACCAAGGGGACCTCACTTTGAGGCAAAAAGAACCGTAGGAATTGAAGTCAGAGGGTCCCTGATCAGCAAAAAAAATCTGCTCACGTAAACATTTTGTGTTCCACTTCTCCTTGTGATATCCGTTTCTGCCCTGATTGCGATAGACTGAGGTTCCATATAATATAGAGCAGCGATTCCCAAAGTGTGGGCCGCCGCGAAGGTACTGCAGGTCATTTACAATAAATAAATAGTTTTTTAACATTAGTTGATGAAGCACAAACAATTTAAACGGACAGATTAATAAAACAATAAGGCTCTTGCTCGAAACGGCTGCTCTTGTCCGCCTGTCGTTGTTCAACGGGGCGCCCTCTTGTAGTATTAAAGTAAATATACCGCATTCTCCGCACTCCAAGGCGCACTTAAAAGGCTTAAATTTCCTCAAAAAACGACAGTGCCTTATAATCCGGAGCGCCGTATATATATGGATCAATTGGTTAATCGGTTGATCCATACTGGTTGTACACGGCGCTCAAGGCGCTCTGCCAAACATGACAAAGCTCGTCTACGACGGCGAGATGCTGAGCGCGTGAGATGTGGAGCTTGTTTCAGGGCGCGTCGGAGAAACAAATCTGTCGTTCTCGCCGAGCACTTCACGAGATTAAAAAGCGAGAGACGGCGCCCTTTTCTTTACAGTAGCTGAACCATCTTAACGGGGAAATAAGTTATTCTAAAAGCAGCCGAAGATTTAAGGCGTGGATGGCGAGGGGGGCGGCGGGAGCGGACGCACCCTGCGGCATCGATCGGACCCTGAAAGCATCGTCTCCAACTTATTGTCAAAAAGAACAACAGCGAGCGCGTAGAAAACTCCTTCGAGCGCGAGCAGAGATTCTCCTCGCGAGCAACGAAGTTCACGTTTCGCAAGCGAGCAAATACCTCGCGGAGACGAACTTTTGCTCGCGCGAGACGGGCTTTTATGTTTTGATTTTGATTGATCAGAGTTGTGATTAAAGGTTTGGTTTAAAGGTTTTCAGATTTCAAAGTGGGCCGCGGCATTCTTGAGTTTGGGAACCGCTGATATAGAGTAAGAGTAACTGACTCAGAGTCTCCTTGTTTGGTTCCTCTCATTAGGTTGAATTGAGGCAAAATTATAGTTTTTTTTATAGTTTATAGTTTTATAGTTATATAATTATTATAGTTTGTTATCACTGATGCTCTGGGATTTGAATAAATTACTCCCATCCATTTGATGAAAGCTTTGCCAAACCCAAATATTTTTAGGGTACGCCGCAAAAAGCCTCATTCTACCTTATCAAAGGCCTTTTGAGCATCCAAAGAGAAGGCGGCTACGTGGTTTCCTCCCCATTAAATTGTATAAGGCAGGAGTTTGGGCCAGTAACTTTCCACATTGATCGAAAGCGGGCCAGATGATGAAAATCACGGAAGCTCTCCCAGTGAAAATGATGACTGTTATGGGGCTGTCCAAATAATTGTTCTGATCCACTGGAATTTCCGGTAATGTAATTTTTTTAAAGAATTTTACATAGCTTATATAGCTATAACCTATTTCTGGATCAGCGTCTGATTTATAAAGTTCAGTATAAAATCTATCAAAGACCTGATTGATTTCCTTTGTGCTTGTCCCCAGTTTCCCCTTTTTCCTCTTTGATTACCGGTATTGCAAAGCTAGCCTCTTTTTGTTGTAACTGTCTGGCTAATCATTTCTATTTTTTTCCCCACTCTCATAAAAATTATACTCTGCTTCGTTATTGTATATTTCATTCATTTTAAATTGTAGGTCGCACCATTTTTTAAGCAAGTATTTTTAAGTATTTTTCTGACGGTGTTTTTTTCTAATTTTTTAAGATGAAAGCATAGCTTACGCCTACGGACGTAAGCTATGATTTTGCCCCTTACATAAGCCTTGGAGGCTTCCCATACTGTACCAACTTTATCTGTCGAACCATTGTTCCATAGGAAAAAATTGTCCAGTTCATCTACCATTAATTTGCTCAATTCTGGGTCTTGGAAATGAGATATGTTCAGCCTCCATCTAACTTTTTCGCTCTGTCTGGCTCTATTACTAATCCTAGCTGTACATCTGCATGGTCGGTCAATGCTATGGTTCCTATTGAACAGTCTGAGACATTCTCTGGTTGTGGATTTCCGTAGGAACGCAGCCCCACCTTCCCCCATCGCCCTGTGTGAAATTGCTGTTGTATTGTAGACAATTTTAAAAACCCATTCATTCTCATTAAGTCCTTCTGCTTCCTGGGCTCCATTGTATCTCAGGACCTAAATTGGGAGCTGAACATCAGCTCCATTTCTAGGAAGGCTCAGCAGAGGATGCACTTCCTGAGGCAGCTGAAGAAATTCAACCTGCAAAAGATTATGATGGTGCACTTCTACAAGGCCCTTGTTGAGTCCATCCTCTGCTCCTCGAACACCGTCAGCGTGTCATCCGCTCTGCAGAGAGGGTGATCGGCTGGAATCTGCCGTCTCTTCAGGACTTGTTTGCCTCCAGGACTCTGAGGCAGGCAAGAAATGTTGTAGCCGACCCCTCTCACCCCGGACCCAGAATCTTTGAGCCCGTCCCTCTGGCAGAAGGCTGCGGTCCATCAGGACCAAGACCTCTTGCCTCTTCCTGTCAGTATTTGGTCTCAAGAACCAAGTCAGAGTCCCCCATTGACCCAATACTCCATCCCGGTAACATTTTCATTCTATTAGTGTTGGGAAAATGCCTAGAAATACACAACTAATCTGTAAGTAGAACAGAGATGCATTAACTGGCTGCCAGTCTACATGGCCTCCTCCCCATCACTCAACGCCACATCTCCGCCACCACCACCACCTCCCAAGAGAGTCTGTGTTGGCGTGATGATGTTGCCGTGGATCCGGTTGTACACTGGCCTGTGAAATGTGACAAGCGTGGGTGTTGCTAATTCTGCGAAAACCAATGAAACCACCACCGTCTATCTGAAATGCGATGTGCGTCTTTCAGTGAGGAAAGAAACTGTTTCCATTTGGCCTCGGCTAAAGTGATGCACATGCAAATAACAACGGTTCAAACATGGTGCTGAGCGTACAAAAGTTTAATTGTTTCTGAAATCTTTTTGAAACATGTTTCTCAAGTTTACCTCATAATGCTGTTGCTCAGTTAACAACTGCACCAACTTTTGAGACCTCCAATGTGAGGCAGTATTCATTTGTATTAAGTTTGCGTATTGTTTGTGTTCTGAAACAAATTTGGAAAAACTATTTTGTTGTTAAAACTAAGGTTTGTGGAAATAAAAAGACTGGTTTTGTTACAAAACAAAAGGAGATCATGAGGTTGAATAATTTTCCAATGAGAAATAAATTTTCCATTAACGTCTAATGTGACAAAAGCTTACTGTACACGAGCCCTCTGCCTTGTATTATCGTAAGTGTATGATCCTGTAGGTGTGTAGCTTGAACCGTTTAAAGTCAAATGCATTGATTTGGAGCTCGACCAAAGGCTACCCCTTAAAATCATAGCTTTCCCAGCCCAGTGCCATAGGTCCACCTTGTCTGACACCCACTGCCACAATTATTTCTAGCCAGAATTTCCGTCACTGTGACTGCTTTTAGTCTTACTTTTACTGTTTTTATTATTATATTATGGTCTGCTGCTGTAATAATTAGTAGTACTTCCCCCATTATTCTGCTTCTCTCATTATATGAATTATTTCAATCATATGTACTAATTGTGTTGTAATTATTATGCTAATGTGTTTTTGTGGAGATAAATAAGTTGAATTTAATGGAAAACCACTGTAGCGAAGAAAAAAAATACAAACTAGTAAAATGTTATTTTAGTCAAATACCTTGAGCTAAAAATTCAAATCCTCTATGAGGACATGTACTGTATGTTGTTGGCCCACACCTGACTACACTGACTCATCAGAGAAATGTGCTGAGCAGGAAGGAAACTGCTCCAGATGTTCTATCATAAAAGGAAAATGATTTACCCAATACCACAAAAGAAAGAGAAAAAAATGGTTTTCATAAAAGAGAAAAAAGATTGTTTGGCATATTTGTGTTAAACACAAGTGTTAAAACACAGTTCATTTAAAGCACTTATGTGTGTCACATATACTATAAGCATACAAGTTTCATTCAACATCAACAACTCAATATGATTTTAACACTCAGCAAAAGACCATAAGCAGATCTAAAGCATATGCTTAAAATCTCGCAGACGCACTTGGAAACACGGACAGAATGTCCTCAAGGAGAGCAACGTCTAACTATTGCTTTGCACAGTGATGTGTTGCCCGGGGTTGCTGGAGGTCTGCCTCAACTCACCATGACATTATGTTCATCAACAAGTCCTGGAATGGGGGGCAGGTGTTCAAATAATGCTTCATAAAAGACACCACAACCGTAGTTCTGGGGGGCAATTGAAAAGCGAGGGATAGAAGGAATAGAAGGTGTTGATGATCAGGGACATCAGCTGAGCGATCTCTGCCTGGAAGGCAAAGGTCTCGGCCAATCACACTTCCTCATGTGACCATTTTCCAAAAGAACAACACATAATAAAAAAAGAAAATGTATGGTAAAAGCAAACAATTTGATTGTGTGAAGTAGATGTTAGGCAGATTGGCAGATGTTGAACTGATTAGTTCATCTACTTAAGTTAAATGTGCTATATACAAGATCGAGACGATTTCTACTGACTCAGCTGAGCTAGCAGTTTACAGCTAACTGTGTGAACAATGCTAACAGTGCTAACCACAGCAAAAGTGCTGACAGAGCTAACCTTGTTTCCCTTAGGGGTTTCAATTTGGGGGGTGCTATGGGCTGTGCAAGCTCTCATGTACAAACATGTACTAAACACTTGTGAGGCCTTTGAAAACAGAAAAGTCTCCGCTCCCCAATATCTTTACACTGGTTGCTACATGCTATGCATGCCTTTGAATCCAGTATATTGCACCTAATGCTGAAAATATTTGATTGTTCTACCTGAAAGTTAGAGTTTAAAGTGTAAAAGGGTCGGGCAGGATGTCATGGAGTAAACTCTGTGTTTGTCTGCTTGTCTGTCTAGTACTCATAAACAGAGTGCGGTGTCCTCTGGGACGTGCTTCTGGTGTTCTGGCTACTGAGGCGCATGTGTCTCTTCAGACAGGGGATCTTCTTAGCTATCAGCTTTCTGAAGTGGCTCTGGAACTTCTTCCCCAAAAATGTGTAAAACATAGGGCTCACGCAACAATACAAATAGGCAATGTTCCGTGTCACATACATGGCATAGTCCAGGCGGTCTTCGTCGGCGCAGGGGTCATCACCCTCACTCGGGTGAGTGATCTGAATCGCTCGAAGGAGGATCACAATATTGTAGGGTGTCCAGCAGGCGAAAAAGGTGAAGATGATGACAAATATGAGTTTGATGGCACGGCACTTCTCCTTCATGCGGGTGGACAGGATGCGGACTGTGATGCTGATGTAGCAGTACATCACCATACACAGAGGGAGGAGGAAGAAAATCAGGAATTGTTGGTAATAACTGACCAGGCGCCAGCGTTCCATGGTGATCTTCGGGTATCCTGACTCCTCACATATCAGGCCATTGAACGGACTCTTCGACACATTTTGGAGAACCAGCTCTTTCAAACTTGCTACAATACTAATACACCAAACTACCACTGAGGCAATAATGGCATATGCCTTTTTCCTACTCTTAGCGGCTGCCACAGCGTGAACCACTGCAAGGTATCGGTCAAAAGTCATGAGTGTAAGGAACAGGACGGAGCTGTAGAAGCCGATGAAGTAGGCGCTGCTGACCAGCTTACACAGAGCCAAGCCAAAAATCCACTCAGACAGATGGTAGGATGCCCAGAAGGGAAGACTGCCGGCAAAGAGAAGATTGGATAGGACCAAATTCAGGAGGAAGATGTTTGTCACCGTGCAGAGCTTCTCGTACTTGTAGATAATAAGGAGGACAAGCCCATTACCCACGTAACTCAGGAGGAAGTTGGAAAAGTAGAAAGCTGGGATCAATCGGGCGCCAAACTGGTTGACAGCCTGCTTTCCACAAAGCTGGACAGTTTCACTAACCACATAGCTTGGGTCAGTAGTGTCATTGGCTTCATCGTAAAATTCCTTGAACAACAGATATTGTTCGTCATTGCTCATGGCTGGAGTTTTTACCTGAAAGACAAAAAGAGCCATGCAAGTCGGTTGGCTGGAGGGGTTTCTCAGAAAACAGAGCAATTAAGAAAACCAACTATCTATTTGATATATAATTAGATGTTTTTTCGCTGGATGTTAGTAACTATAATTGTTATTATAGACTTCATACATGTTTTCTATATTTTATTTTCACCTGTAGAAATTAGTAAGAGCGGAGCACTAATGAGGATCCGGACATAGTATTGGAGCATATAATATCGGCGTAACTGCTTTCAAAGTACAGAGTAGTATTTTGAAATAACAGTAAAAACCAATGACTAATGCTGAGCCTGATTGGTTCTGTCGATTCCTCATTTTAGTAAAATAGAGAACAGAAACTGCTGGCTGAGCAGTAAAACTTCACACCTCTGAACTGGTGTGCGATACTCCTTCCCAGAATTTTTTTTTTTATTTTCCTTTTCTATTCTTTCTCGTAATTCAACACATGACACACACACACACACACACACACACACACACACACACACACACACACACACACACACACACACACACACACACACACACACACACACACACACACACACACACACACACACACACACACACATCTATAGCAATTAAAGGAGCATGGTGGCTCGCTCATCTTTTTTGATCAACTATTAAGCTAGCAGTTGTATGAGTATGTCAATAGTATGTTGATATTGCATCATTATAATATTGGCTTTACAGTCCGTACACATGCGACATGTTCCGAAACCGTCACATCGGCACAGGAAAAGTTCCTCCCAAAAAAATCAATAAATCCATAAAGAACATATTTTTAGCTTTTTAGAATAATAAAGCTTTTTTTTTTCTCTGTTATCACAACAGCTATTTGGTAAATGTTTTGTGTGGAGCTGTCCTAGATTTGAGAGTGCAATTTATATTATAATCTGAACCAAATATCCTGACAAAGGCATTATTAATAATCAGAAGATACAGTTGCTGTTTTTTATGTGTATCAAACTATTGCTTGTCACTATGAACCAGAATGGACCAGCTATATATATATATATATATATATATATATATATATATATATATATATAAAAAGTCATATTTCTTTAAATAAGATTATGATTTATATACAGATTATTGAAACAAATTAATCAATCAACATTTGTTTTAGGGAATGATTATAATGAAGGCTGATTTAACTCACCAGTAAGGCTTTGTGAGAAGATGACAGTGACAGTGAGTCAATGACTGCAGCAGACGGAGTTTGTCACAAACCCCTTCCTCGTGAGTCCTGTTGGTGGGAGGAGTTGTAGTGTCTTGGTCCAACTCACCTGCTCCTGATCATAATAAGGGACATGATAAACACATCCAGTCCCTGCCGGATCATTAGTGCAGGGTTGGAATACCTGCCTAAGTAAACACAGAGCCCTGTTCCTCGTACGTGGCTAACTGAGTTAGCCGAATAATTTTCAGAATGAGATGACGTAGATCCGGCTTTTCGGTTTCCTGAAGCAGGTTTGTCTAAATCACCATAGCAACACATCGGAAACACTTGAACCTGCTCTGGCGCAGGTTCATTTGAGCTGCTGGATTAGTTCATCACTCCCCCGCAAAAAAGGGCAGCTCACTTCCTCATTGATGAAGGAGCGACATCAGTTAGATTAACGTTTTATAGGGAGAGACTTCTCACAGAAATCGCAAAGACACGTTGAGCTGCGATGACGTCCTGTACGAGCGTTACAGATGCTGAGGACAGGAATCATTTATTTACAAGAAGATTTACCAGGGCCGAAACGTTACATGATGAACACCACATGCTGCAGCCGAACGTCCACTGTCCCAGACTGTCTCTCATACTCTCTCACACACTCTCTCATGTCTCACACACTGTCCCACAGACTGTCTCACACACTGTCCGTGTCTGTACGGTGTTTGCGATGCAGAGAACATCTGGAAAGCTGCTGCATGTCGTCCCCTTCATGAAGTTCTGTTGGTTTATTTGTTGCTTAATAAACTTTCACTGCTTTCATTGATCAAATGTCTGATTATGAACAATGGATATATAATGATTCTCACACACACACATAATAAAACTCCTAGTTCTATATGGTCATCTACACATACATAAGCTGACACAGTACATATATCCTATTCATTTGTATCAATTTGATTCTTTGGGCTTGTTTTCATCTACACACTCTGAAAGAGTTGAGATCATTATTCTCATTGGATGATGATGATTCCATGAAGCCTCCTGCAAGCAGACACATTTAAAGAAATATAATCTGATTGATTAGTGATAAGGCACTTTAAATGAGCCGTTACATTTTACCAACACGCATAACGTTAACTTATGTGTGATAAATTCTCTGGCTTGTAACCTTTCAGTGACGCGTACATCTTGTTTTTGGTTTCTTTAGAAAAGACTGGATGTTCCAAGTGGGACTTTACAGCTGTTGATTGTGTAACAACAACGCACAAAAAATGAGAAGTAACATTTTGTGGCAGCAAATTAATGTAAACCTGTTATTTGAGCTGAGAAAGGTAAAAGCTGTCTAAAACATTTTTCTTTTATTTAATCTTCAGTTTAATAAAAAAACCGAAGCCATATTGTAAGATGACGGTGGCAAATTGTTATTCCGAAGCCCTGCTAGCAACAAGGCTGAAAACTTTTCATAATCCAATGGACTATTGAGATCTAAATTGCCATTTCAATTCAAGAGACAAGTCTGATAAAGAAAGATTTAAACACTTGTTTATTATGAATAGATTATGTGTGATAAGGTATTCAGTGTTTAGACTCTACATGAAGATTCGTAAATGATGGATATCTGCCTTGAGCAAGATATCGATCGACATTTGCTCCCTCTCTGGCCTCCTCTGTTCTATCAGCTTTCTTTCTCTTACATCCAAACGCTGCCGCAGAGACTCTCCTCTCAACTCTGTCCTCCTCTCTAGACTCTCTGTCCTCTTACGACACAATGGGCAGGCAAATCCCCTCTGGCTCCGTGGCTGTCTGAACCGGTGCCACGAGAGCCACCACGCGGGCAGTCGGTAAGGAGATGGATAAATATAAACAACCTGACGACCTGCTTGCTTTTCAATCCCCTCTTCTCTCCTCCACTATCTCTGCTGCCAAAAGCACTTTCTACCAATCTAGAATTGAGTCCTCATTTTCTAACCCCAAAAACTCTTTTCAATATTCTCCAACCTCCTTGTACCTCCCAGTCCTCCTCCCCCCTTCTTCCGGGAGACTTTTTTGACTATTTTACCAAAAAAATAGGTGACATACACTCCTCTTTTGAAAACCCATCAATTACATGTGTCCCACGAATTTACATTACATTACATGTCATTTAGCGGACGCTTTTATCCAAAGCAACTTACAATAAGTGCATTCAACCATAGGGTACAAACTCAGGAGAACAAGAAACAAGAAAGTGCAATTTCCTCAAATAAGCCAATTTACAATTTGCTATAGATGAGTGACGTTACAAGTACAATTTAAGTGCTACAATTTGTTAGTCTTTAGTCGAGGTAGAGTCTGAAGAGGTGTGTCTTTAGTTTGCGGCGGAAGATGTGAAGGCTCTCTGCGGTCCTGGTGTGGTCCTTTACCTCTATCGCCCTCACTTCCCTCTTTTACCCCCGTCTCCTAACCCAGTTCTTACCCTAGTAACCTCTGCCCATTCGACCACCTGCCCTCTTGGCCCCATTCCATCACATCTTCTACAATCTATCGCCCCTGACCTTCTTCGTTTCCTCACCTGTCTCATTAACTCTTCTCTGTTATTTGACTGTTTTCCCAACTCTCTGAAGGAGGGAAGCATTAACCCTCTGCTGAAGAAACCCACCCTTAACCCATCTGAAGAAAACAACTACAGACCGGTCTCTCTTCTTCTCTTTTTGTTCAAAACTCTTGAACGTGCGATCTTTAACCAACTCTCCTCTTATCTCCACTGTAACGACCTCTTTGACCCCCACCAGTCAGGCTTCAAAGCAGGCCATTCCACAGAGACTGCTCTCCTCGCTGTCTCAGAGCAACTCCACACTGCTAGAGCCACCAAATCCTTATTTCCTCCCTTCAGGAACTTGGTGTCTCAGGCTCTGCTCTCTCCCTTCTCTCATCCTATCTTGACGGCCGCACCTACCGGGAACCTGGCGGGGATCTGCGTCGGAACCTTGTCCTCTTACTACTGGAGTTCCTCAGGGTTCCGTCCTGGGTCCCCTCCTCTTCTCTCTCTACACCAACTCTCTCGGCGCTGTCATTTGCTCGCATGGCTTCTCCGACCACAGCTATGCCAATGACACCCAACTAATTCTCTCCTTCCCTCACTCGGACACTCAGGTGGCGGCACGGCTCTCTGCCTGTCTGACTGACATCTCTCAGTGGATGTCCGCTCACCATCTGAAAATCAACCCAGACAAGACTGAACTACTTCTCTTTCCGGGAAAAGATTCTCCTGCACAGGACCTGCCTGTTAACTTTGGCAACTCCGCGTTAACGCCCACTTTGACTGCTAGGAACCTCTGCATGACACTTGACAGCCAACTCTCCCTGTATCTCAACATTACAGCAACAATACGATCCTGTATCCACGCTCTACAACATCAGTAGAATATGTCCCCTTCTCACTCAGAAGCCGGCGCAGGTACTGCACCGGCTCAGGCTCTTGTCATCTCCCGCCTCGACAATTGTAACTCTCTCCTGGCAGGTCTCCCTGCTATCGCCATTTGACCTCGGAGTTTCTGAGCAAATATCCTTGTTTTTTAAGTCTCGGAATCCCCTTCTTCCCCAGCAACCCGTTCTCTCTCCCAATGAGTGAAATACCAGAGCTTGATCTCTGTTCCTCGGTGAATGATGTAGGGGCGTGAATCAGTTTGCCGTTTCATTGCTCATTCATTATGATTGTTATGTTTTTTTTATGGATTTGCCTCCTGTTGCACTATCCCCTTTGTTTCCGTCATTTTTACAAAATGTAGCCACTGTGGAACTAAAGGATTATCTCATCTTTGGATAGCCTTTGCGAAGAATCCATACAGAGGTGAAACCAACATACAAAAATAACCATCCCAAATACACTACCGTTCAAAGGTTTGGGGTCACTTAGAAATGTCCGTATTTTTCAAAGAAAAATGCTGTTGTTTTTCAATGGAGATAATATTAAATTAATCAGAAACACACTGTATACATTGTTAATGTGGTAAATGACTATTCTAGGTGGAAATGTCTGGTTTTTAATGAAATATCTACATAGGTGTATAAAGGCCCATTTCCAGCAACTAAAACTCCAGTGTTTTAATGGTACATGTTTCCTAATCGCCTTAGAATACTAATGGATGATTAAAAAATCCTAGAAAACCCTTGTGCCGTTATGTTAGCACAGCTGAAAACAGTTATAATAGTGAAAGAAGCTATAAAACTGGCCTTCCTTTGAGCTAGCTGAGTATCTGGAGCATCACATTTTTATCTTCGATTATACTCTCAAGAAAAAGTGAAACTTGCCAGTCTATTCTTGTTCTTAGAAATGAAGGCTGAATGAAATGGCGAATAAACTGAAACTGATTTCATACAACAGTGTGACCTACTCCCTTCAGAGAACAGCACAAACAGGCTCTGGCCAGAGTAAAAAGAGAAGTGGGGGCTCCGGTGCACAACTCAGCTAGAAGACAAGTATATTAGAGTCTCTAGTTTGAGACATAGATGTCTCACAGGTCCTCAACTGGCAGCATATTTAAATGGTACCCGCAAAACGCCAGTGCCAACGTGTGAAGAAGCGACTCTGGGATGCTGAGTGGCAAAGAAAAAGCCATACAGTAGCTGAAAATGGCCAATAAAAAGAAAAGATTGATATGGGCAAAAGAACACAGACATTGGACAGAGGAAGATTGGAAAAAAAGTGTTATGGACAGACACATCAAGGTTTGAGGTGTTGTGAGATGCAGAAGAGGTGAAAAGATGCTGGAAGTGTGTCTGACGCCATCTGCCTCTTTGCTGCTGGTAAAGTGGGAGATTTGTACCCTGTACTCTGTGGACAGCGCTTGATTGGAGCCAATTTCCTCCTACATCAGGACAAAAGCAGACCTCCAAATAACGCAAGAACTATTTAGGGAAGAAGCAGGCAGCTGGTGTCCATCTTTCCATCTTCAAATCGCTCACCCTGCACACAGTCGCAGGGAGTCTTTCCCAGCTGCATAGACTCCCTTACTCAAGTATTTCACAATCTTTCAGTGACGCGTACATCTTGTTTTTGGTTTCTTTAGAAAAGACTGGATGTACCAAGTGGGAATTTACAGCGGTTTATTATGTAACAACAACGCACAAAAAATGAGAAGTAACATTTTGTGTCAGCAAATGAATGTAAAACCTTGAGTGGCAAATAGTTATTCCGAAGCCCTGCTAGCAACAACGCAGAAAGCTTTTCATAATCCAATGGACTATTGAGATCTAAATCGCCATTTCAATTCAAGAGACAAGTCTGATAAAGAAAGATTATTATTAAGATTATGTGTGATAAGGTATTCAGTGTTTAGACTCTACATGGTGATTTGTAAATGATGCCTTGATCAAGATATCGATAGACATTCGCTCCCTCTCTGGCCTCCTCTGTTCTATCAGCTTTCTCTTACATCCAAACGCTGCCGCAGAGACTCTCCTCTCAACTCTGTTCTCCTCTCTCGACGCTCTCTGTCCTCTTACGACACAACGGGCAGGCAAATCCCCTCCAGCTCCGTGGCTGTCTGAACCGGTGCCGTGTGAGCCACCACGCCAGCATCGGAAAGGAGATGGCGTAAATATAAACAACCTGACGACCTGCTTGCGTTTCAATCCCCTCTTCTCTCCTCCGCTATCCCTGCGGCCAAAAGCTCTTTTCTACCAATCTAGAATTGAGTCCTCATTTTCTAACCCCCAAAACTCTTTTCTATCTTCTCCAACCTCCTCGTACCTCCCAGTCCTCCTCCCCCCTTCTTTCCGGGTGACTAGGTGACATATTGCAGGGATAACACAAAGACTAACAACCATTCACAGTCCTACGGGCAATTTAGAGTTACCAATCAACCTGATCCCCAGAGCATGTCTTTGGACTGTGGGAGGAAGCCGGAGAACCCGGAGAGAAGCCACGCAGACACGGGGAGAACATGCAGACTCCACACAGAAAGGCCACTGGGCGGAGTGGAACCCAGGACCTTGTTGCTGTGAGGCGACGGTGCAGACCATCACGCCACCGTGCCGCCCCTCAGTGCCCATCAAGCCAATCCAACTTGTGGGAGGTGCTTCAGGAAGCGTGAGGTGAAATTTCTACAGCTTACCTCAACAAATGAACAGCTACAATGTTTGTCTGCTCTAGATTTCATTTCATTTTGCAACTCATTTGATAAATACAGCTGATGAAAAACACAAAATTGTCTGGGTGACGCCAAACCTTTGAACAGTACATTTATACAAACATTTGTAGACAGCCTACATCAAGTGAACTGTATGGCTATAAATTAGCTAACTGTAAGTCAGTGATGATACAGGTGTGACATGCATGCTAGGAATTATGTTTGAAAATGTATTGATAAATGGAAAGAGGGTAATTCATTGGTGGTGAAAGTGAATGGTAGATAAATGCATGTTAAGCTGCAACCTGACTTTCATTCAACTGGTCACGATCCGTGGCTCATTACAATTTCAATTTTAGACGAATAAAAAAAGAAAATGAATCCAATCCATGTAATCCAATCATATTCAAGAGAAAACCAAAAAGAACAGTTGTTTCAAAGCAATGTGACACCCACAGAGCTTTGCAGCATGAGTAACGACTCTGACGCTAGATTTGAGGTTGGTCATTTTGTAAATAGCCATATGTTTTGGTTGCTACTTTACGCAGAACAACCTCCACTGGGCTCTCATTGGTACATGGAGTTGGTCAGTGCCAGCGACCGGTGTCCAGCCCCCCCGTGAGGTCTGTAGCAGCTGGCGGAGGAGGATTTAGCAGGTCGATGACGTGTCCGTCGCGGAGCTTCAGAACTGCCTGATTCAGACTCCACCTGCAGAGAGAACAACACAGGTCAGGAATGGTGGACACAAAGCACTTACGAAAATGAGTAAAAAGACACTTTTGCTTGAAGGTTGGAAAAGATGCAGTGATGCGCAGGATTAATGCGCAGGAGTCCATGAGAAGAATAAACAAGCATTGCCACAACTTATGTCCTCTTTGTGTAGATACGTGTTGTCTTGGTGCATCCTGAGCCCCTTTCCTGAGGCTAACTGAGTTAGCCGGATGACTTTCAGGATAAGATCACTGTGGTGGTGGGACGTGGTTAGCTCAGCTGCAGAGGGGGAACCTAGCGAGGGGGGGGGTTCAGGGAACGGTGCCGGGATGAGGTCTAATCGGCCTCAGCTGAGCTTAATCTGTCTGTGTGTGTGTCTCCCTCCCCAATAAAGGTCAGTAGGTACTGAGAAACGAGAGGAAGCGAATGAAGAGTGTGACCGGCCGTGAACGCTGTATCCAAAGCGTGCTCAATAAAAATAATTATTAAACTGAATGATCCGTGTCGCTGCTTTCTACGTCCGAGACTTACGGGGTAAAGCCTAGTTTATGCTTCTGCGTTTTCAGAGCGACGCAGACGCAAGACCCCTTGCGTGCCTTTTCACACCTCCTTGGGTGCGTCGACCCATTTTTCTAGGCAGCGCACCAGGCTGCGATGTAGGGGACCGTTACTTGTGGTTTTGCTCAGAATAGACTAGAACGTTCTCACCTGTTAGTTTCAGGGTCTTGAATTGAAGAAGTATACAGATAACCTCCAGTTTCTGAGCCAGTCACAGGAATCTTTATCTGCACAAAGCAAATTCAAAATAATCTGAACATAGGTAGATACCATAGCTCTTCACATAAGGATTGTGTGGTACAGCTAGCCATCATCTGAATCACACACCAATGGACAAATAACTTTATCAATCCCTAGATTGTCAGTGATGCACAGTAAAAAAAGAGATACTGTAACGACGCTGTTACCTATGCTGCAGTGAGTGAGTGACTGATTGGATGGAACTGAGGATGCTCCCAACTAATTGAGCAGTATTATGTAGTTCTGATAAGTACCAACCCCAGGAAGTGGGTAGGGGAGCCAGGCAACATATGAGTATTCTTTATATTTAAATGATTACGTGCGGATCATTTACAGTATTTATAAGGATTTTAGATGTGTAAATAAATTATTATGTTTTTGGTTTGGGAAAATTAGGCAAATGTTTAGTGTGTGTGTGTGTGTATATATATATATGTGGCCAATCTATCTATAGATGGTATGTCCGTGTTGATGAGAGTCAAGTGTGTATATAAGGAGCTCAATTGTTTGGGATAAGGATGGAGAGGCTAGACTGAGATTAAGTGGTTAGTGATGGTGAGATAAAAATATGAAATGAACTAAGTTTTGGTTAAACTTGGTCTAGGCCTCCTGATTTGTGCATTTGCGTCCTGGTCATAGTCTCACAATAGCAGAAACATAAATCCATGTGGATATTAGTGTAAATCCGCCGTCTTTGTGGCCACTAAATAGAAATAAAAAAAAGTTAGTTAGTCCGAATATCATAGCCTGGGTTCCTATGTAATAACAATCCAACTTAAAATTTAGGAGAATTACAAGGACAAGATTGGCAAATGAACCTGCCGAAGACACAGATTGGCCCTCAGTGGTGCGGGACTGTTTTGTTGATACACAACACTTACTAAAACAAAGTACCTGTGCAGTGTGATGATTTATGCGGTTGTCTCTGTCGGTCAGGTGGATGTTGTGAACCTTTAAAGGTGGAGCCCCCAGGCTGTCCATAGCAAATGGACATGCTTCCAACTTCTCTAGAGCCAGTCGATGGTAGTCCGACTCAGCAAATTTCTCTAATAGGATCCGGGCAGACAGAAAGGTTAGAAAAAGAAAAAGAGCATTATGAAATAGGAAAGGAAACAGCAGCGGCGAAAAATGAGATTAACAACGGAAAGGAACAAAAAAACAACGGGCGACAAAACAGCCAAGGTGGATTTGATTGAACCCCGCGCGGTGGAAGGGGTTATATCTACGGCTGAAGCCATAACATACAATTGCTGTTAATCACAGAAAAATCAGGAATGACTACATTTTTTCATCTTTGACCAGCACTGTATAAAATACACCATGTTTTGATATATTGTCCAACTTCTGCTTAATACATACACATGAACACAGCTCATCTGCACTCACTCTGCAAGAGATAGTACATGGTGCCGATCCCACCCCCGGTCAGCAGGGTGGTGAAGATGGTGAGCTGCTGCAGATGACTGGTGGAAACCCTCATCTTCTCCCGCTGGAAAGCTGTAGTCACGGGTCTGCGCAGGTTGATGGGGAACTATGCACACAACACCGGTTTCCTCCATTTATTTGAGAAGGAACTGTGAATCACTAGCAATGAGACGGTTATCATAACTAAGTAACTGAGGAGGGAATTATAGTTATTTGACACGGTGTTTGTGACATTTAAAAGGCAACTCAAAGCTCAACAACTTCCCGGTTATGAATGGTAGGTATCATGGCAGAATCATTGCATACATCAGTGGGTTCATTATTGTTGTACTACAGTAGTTATTTTTGATGAAATGGGCTCTTGATTTATTATCATTTATTATTTTGAGTATTTATTCCAAAAAATAAATAAAAACGGGTAAGGTGCGGACACAGAAGCAGAACAACTAGGAGCAGGGGAAGTCTTTATTTTCCTCGAGACACAGAACAGGTAGCACAGTCATAGGGGAAAGACGGGAGAATCTTGTAGTCATAAACAGAAGGCAGTGAATTACCGGCGCAGAGGCGAGGCAGTCCAAGAAATGCAGGGTCAGCAACGGGGAATCAGTCCAAGGGCTGGACGTTTCGGCATTAAATAATCCAGCAAAATTATTTGTGTATATATATCACACAAAGCTTGTAATATTTGCCCAAATAGTTGAGATGCCTTAATTGAATAAATGTATCAATAATTTGATGAATTGTTACTGATAATTCCATTGTTCACCCATTTATAGTTCATTAACAATCATCTGTGGATAGGTGCCAGAAATATTCATGAAAGTGCTCTTTGACCAATATTTCTGGAAAGCAAATAGTACGCTGTTTTAAATAGTGTCAATGCTAAATACGTTTTGGGTTAAAATTACTCCAAATTGAGCAAAGTACCTGCGAAACCTGGTGGTTTTGCATAATCATTAGATATCCTAGTGACTGACGATAAATTGGTGACACTTTGTCCTAAAACTAAATATACTCTGCTACACTGAATTAGAATTACATTATTTCCAATTATGCAAAAGAAAATTTTATCAAAATAACTATTGCGGTACAAAATTAATTTGGTCATAAGAGAGACGCTATAGAATATTCTTAGCAATAAATATTGAAAATAATTAATCAAAAGTAATTATTTTACAACAAATATAAGCCCATTGACATATGAAATTATTTTGATCATGCTACACTTTTCAACAGTTGAGTTATTGACTAAACCTCCCAATAACAAATATTCTGCAGTGTATAAGCAGATCTCTCAATAATTACTGCTTTACTACAACACGCTGGTGGTTAAACACGGAATTGGAATTAAATATTAAATTCTAATTCATGGTCATTTAATCAAAAGAACATTTAATCAAAATAACAGCGGCCGTATAACAATAATAAGCCCATTGATGTACAAAATAATGGTCAAGTTATTGAATATTATTTGCCATAAATATAAAAAATAATTATAAATCGAAAAGTACATGTTGTAGTACAATAATAACGAGCCCACTGATGTATGAAATTAACGTTATGTGGTGTTATTGAATATTTCTGTAATATTTATTTCCCGCATTGCACTTTGCAGACGGTCCCTGCGCACTCGTCTCTCAGCAGCCACAAATTTAGAACAACGTGACCGTTCGCGGACCGCTCTGTTTTGGAGAAATGATGGTAAATTAGAGTTGGTTTTAACACCGTTTCGCTGACGAGCTTTTTAACCGGAAAGTCCATGTCTGTGAATATCTCGCTAGCTTTACAAAACGTGTTCCTCGTGGTGTCATTGACTATGGTGGCTCCTGTCATTGGTGCATGAATGGGTGAATGATGTCATGCAGAGCTTTGAGGTCAAAAGACTACAAAAACATGCTAAAAGTACAGAAAAGTTCATTTATTTCTGTGTATAAACGTGTACAACAAATTTACAACAAATGTTGTTGCTCACTAACAAAAGAGATTTGAAAACATTCTCACCTTGTTTTGCAGCAGGAGGGCTCGGCTCTTACTTCCGTATACGTCACACGGACGGTTGCCAATTGGATGCGGGTACGCTCCATAAATCTACAGGCGCGTGCTGCTTATGTAGAGCAGGCGGCGTCTGTACTACAATACAGATATATACCCACATAAAAGATTATATGATATACGACAGATACTGGTTACAACCCTCACTGACTCACACACGTTGATGTGAACGAGGGTTGGCCAATAGCCATTTGATAAGTGTTCAAATAATTGTCTTATGTCTGTTTTGCTAAACAAGTAGCCTAAATAGATTTGACAATTCCCTCTAAGGCGTAAAAACATCAAAATAAAAACGCACCATTGGACATTACTTGTTTGGTTTTTCAAGGTAATGTCATCAGATGTATCAGAGTGCCGTCATTTGCAACCCTTCAAACTCTACCAAGTCATGTTAATTAGGTCCCTGAGGCTTCAGGGTCCAAAGCTTTAGGGGGACATCAGGACCTAACCATCAGGGAAGGAAGGCAAATGGGGGAGGGTGACTCTCTGTGGTCCTCCCAGAGGCAGTTTGATGGTTTCAGTCAGATTAGGGAATCTAGGGGCCCCTAACCGCCAACTCTGAGCAACGGTCTTAAATTCAGCAGAATATTCTGCTCCAATTTGGGGATCCCCACAAAGCTGTCTCCTAAGTTTTTTTAGTTTTCTAAATATTCAATCAGACATTTACACTGTATATGAGGTTTGTTAGTCAGTCAATGACACAAAAGCCACCTTATAACAATATAAATTAAATGATAAAAAGGCATTTATTAGTTAATAAATTATCTTACAAAGGCAGCTTCTCCCCCCCAAGCACCCTCTCACTTATGTTCCCTATATGTACCACCACCCCCCTACCTGATATTACCTATACATGCTCATTTCAGCCACCATTACTCCACCTCTTGTTTAAGGTAGTCTGGGCCATCAGATTATCCCATATTTATTTCCTAGTAAGCAAAGCCTTGGGGATACTGAAAAAGGCCACTTGAGCCCCCCTGATCTCATTGTGAGGATCCCTTTACCGTGTTAGTCTCAGACCTTCGCATATTCTAATTTTAATATTTGACATTTTTCCATAGAATATTGAGGCAGAATATTGAGCTTCAGGAACTCTCGAATCTTGTTCTTTTCTCTGCTCCTTTCAGTGCTGCTCCTCAGCTGTAAATACTTACAGGAATCCTCTTTCTCCTGTAACTTACATTTTCCTTTAAGCTTCACAAATGATCTAAATACGCCATCTTCATATATACCTTTGACAGCATGTATTCTTTTCGCCAGCCATCCCATAGAATTGTTTTTTTCCCTATACAGATTGTGTCACACTTGGGGTTTTGTCTTGTCTCCATGTTTTTTCTTGTCATTTCCCGGTTTATTTTGAAAGATTAACCTTCCTCTCGTTTCAGGTCACTTGCTCCTCCTCATGTGTCACCAGTCGAATTGTCTTCCCTGATTCCTGATTGTGTTCATCTGTTGCCCTTTGCCCTCATGTGTCTTATAGTCTGCGTCTCCCTTTGTCTTGTGCCGGAGTGTTTCGACCTTTCGTCCACCCAAACACACGCAGTGAGCCTCGTCTCGTCTTCATAGCATTTTGGGTTTTCCTCCTAATGGAACAATTTGGAGTTTTTTAGGTTTTCCTCTCTGAAGAGTGATTTTCTGTTTATAGATAATTTCTTTCAGATTTTGTTAATATTTTTTTTCATAGCTGCTTATTTTATCCCACAGTGTGGGAGAGCCTAATATGTTCACCCATCTGCCCCTGAGTCCTCTTTAAAGTCCAGTCTGACAGATGGAGTGAGGAGTAGTCTTGTTTGTGATGAGCGATATACTGAGCATCTTGTGTGCCCTTGCCCACGTCCGCTGGCAGTGTGGTAAAATTAAATATCTTTGTTTAATCGGTTTTGTAATTTATTTTTGTGACAGTATGTCTATAACCTGATATGGTGCTGTACTAGCATATTTATTTCTGTGCTATATAATTCCATATTGGGAAAGAGCTTTTTGATACTTCTTCTCGGTTATTTGTTATTCCATAAGAATGCCTTGATCAAATGAATATATTCTCTAAATATCCTTTCAGGGATGGTTAGTGGAATCATCATGGAAATCTATTTAAATTGTAGAGCAATATGATAATCACCCCGACCAGGCTCCAAATCTTGAACACATATTCTTACAAGTATCATCTTAATATTTTTATAAGATTAATAAATTTCCATTTGTCAAACTTTTTTGTATTAAAGGGTGTATTTAGGTGTGTCTAGTTTAGGAGTATTGCGTTGTACTTTTTAAATGTATTCTGCTACATCAGGAACATTGTATTCCCAAAGTATGTTAGACATGCAAGGAATTTGGCATTGGACATTGGACAAATTGTAGGCGGACTCATCCCCACCAGAGATGAGTCAATGAGGGTGGTGTTGAGGAGCTCTGCGGACTGGTGGGTGGAGGTGCAGCTGTTGGAGCGGAGGGGAAAGAACGCAGCCTCTGGGTGAACCGGTGCTGATTCACCGAGAGACTGAGACATGTGAGTTTGTTGTTCGATAGTCAATGCTGCCAAAAGGTACCTGACGGTTTACGTGTTCATTTCCCAATTTAAAGAGAGCTAAATTAAACTAATAGACTAGATTAACATGATATAGAACTGTTAAGTGATATTTCTGCCACCTTATCACGGATGATTCTGAATTAACTACTAATGGGAGAACAATGGACTTATCTGTAATAATTAATTAAGGTATTGATACATTTATTTAATAAAGTCTTGTCGGACTATTTGGCAAATGTTGCAGGCTGTAGCGTTTAAGTGTAATGAGTAATGAGACACTTTAATTATTCTACACCAGATAAAATGGATAGTTATGGACACATTTTTGCTGCATTCTCCTCTGGCTTTATTAAACAAAACAAGTGTACTATTATTTATAGAGCACGTATAAGAGACTTGGCCCCATATGAAAGGAATGGAAAGAAAGTGGCACATATTTAGAGGATCAGTAGACTTCATATAAATAGCATTTTCAATGCGACTCCTAAATGATGCAATAATATTGAATTCACTTAAAACTTCAGCCTTGCTTAACACACCAGAGGGGCAGTTAGTTTATCTTTCTTATCTCTAGTCTAGAGGCCACAGTACTGCGTGGGTTCTTAACCTGGTTCTTCATAATCTTAGAAAAAGCAACACGGAGTTTCTTAAAATGTTGTTCCTGGAATAACAACCACCCATCAAAATGATTGCTTATTGGCTTGAATGTGACAAAACATCCTTAGAATCAGGTCGGTCAAGTTCCCTTCAAGACGTTTAATGACAATACGGTACATTCTAACGTATTCAAACTACATACTTTAGTAGCATTACCGGTTTATTGCCCGCTAACTCATATTATTCAGTAAACCCACAGCTCGGCGCCTTCCCCAGTCGTCCTCCGGCCCGTCCGCTGCAGCGCAGCGAGCGCGCCTCCACTGAAGCCCGCCGAGGAAAGCCGGCGCGGGGCGCGCGCATGAGCGAGAACGTGACGTAACCACGGTCGGCGCGTGGTGTTTTGCGAAACGAGTGTCTCGCCGGCTCGCCTGAGCGCAAAGGTTACCTCGCGTGACGTCATCTCCAGCCAGGGAAGGGGTACACGCGGACAACATCTGGACGTGTTTCCGAGCGACCGGACGCCAGGTACGAGAGGCCGGAAGCGCCCCCGGTCCATCGGTTCGGCTTCCTGGTAGAAGCTGGGCGGGGAGGACCGGACGCCAGCTGTGCTCTGCTGGTAGCGCCGATGTGCGCGTTACGGAGTTGTGTATTCGTACCGTAGTTTGCTTCCCTACAGCAGTGAAGTAGTGCGTACTGGCGACCTGCAGCACCGTGGTACCACACGCAGTGTTGTCATGTAACGGGCTAACGTGCCACGTTGTGTAACGGTTCACGTTGCGTATTAACTGCCACGTGTGAAGGTGACCCCGGACGGTCCCTCGTGGACTTGGAGGACGTGTCTGACCCAAAGGAGGTGCACATCTAGCAGCCTAGAGGTTCAGTAGGAACTGCATGGGTCTCGTGAACACGTGACCTGAGGTGCGCTTCATGATTGAATTTGGTTTTAATAGACAGTAAATAATAAGGTTGTAAAATGAAAACCATTACGCAAATTTCTGCATGGCGAAAAAACACTAATGTGCTGATTTTGGGGACGTGTCGAGCATCTAAAGATGTTATTGCACAAGAGAATAATATATTAAGAGTAAACAAAAGTTCCCCACACTTACATGGTTATGTTTAGATGAACCCAAATCTCTTCATAAATGTATGATTGAAAGTGCACCAGGTTGATAAATTGAAGTTAAAAACACTTTCTTAGATGAACGTGTCTCTGGGAAATGTCCTCACTCACTCATAGTCCTGGAAACAGACTTCGATTTACCAAATGGGAATGTTATGAGATCAAATGGTTTCAACACTAAAAAGGTCGATAAATCCATCTTTGAAATTCCGCTTACCCAATTTAACCCATTTCCCTCTTTGCCTTGCAGTCAGAATGTGGGGGGCGGTGGTTGTTGGCGTTGGCACAGCAGGTTGGGTGCGGATTAAAGACATGTTAGTTCCTCTACCCGGCAGTCCTGCAGCCAACCTTTGTGTGAAAGGATTCATATCCAGGTAACTCACACGGGATTGCCAGCACGCACAGTTAAACACAACCTATTTAATTGTTGGTATATCCAACAACAAGAGAGCTCAGCCTGTAAAGGCTCCGCTGCACTCAGGAAGCAGGAATCAGGAAACATTTATTACCAAAATATGTCAGACATACAAGGAATTTGACTCTGCGGTCGGTGCGTAACAGCAGACAGTTAGACGATGGACAACAAGACCGATAAGACAACATAGTGCAAGAGGAATAGAATAAAATATAATTCTCATCCTGCAAACAAACATTCACAAGTCTTAAATACAAATTAGTCACATTAATTAAATCGACCTACTAAAACGTAAGTTGATAAATGTAATAAGTACAATGAGGCCGATAACACAAGGCTATCTAGCCTGGCTAATTCTCAACAGTGAGTCTTTTCAAACAGAGTAGCTACCAAACAAAACAAAGTAATCCCTAAAAAGGTTAGAAAGTAAAATGTGATCTCTAAAACACAGTATCGATTATATTTGGTGCACTTTATCAGTCACTGACCTGAGAAGCAATGAGTCGCTGCACGCACACACAGGTTTAGAAACCACAGCGCTGCACTGCCACCTACTGGGCACAGAAATGTTTTTTAATCCAAATTAATAAAAATAAAATCAAAAATGTGACTAGAAATTATGTGTGCATCACATTAACAAATAGTATGTTGTAGTAACCCGCACCTGCTATTATATTAATGCAGTTCGGTTAATATGGACAAACCCCATCTGGCTTTTTCAAAATGGAGCTATTTCACTACACACTGTTTGTGTAATGGTAGAAGCAGGTTTAAAATGCATAGTTGGGTTAAGTTCCATCATCTTGAAAGAGACTAATGTCTTTGATCAAAGTAGCATTGCTGTCATTATCAAGCTGATGGATGTTTTTGTCAACAGGAGAAGCTTGGAGCCTCACCAGGGTGTAAGTCAGATCTCCACAGAAGAGGCTGTGAGTAGAGAAGACATTCATGTGGCGTTCGTATGCACTGAAAATGTGTTGCACGAGGACAATGTCAGGTAATGTGCAAGTTTGCAAAAAGTCTCTACTCTTGACCTTTGTCACATTAAATAGTTATCAGTTGCTCAATCGGCATTCTAAAATCTCTTGAGGGATTCACAATGTACATTTCTTTCCTAATAATCAACCCGGTAATTGCCTTGTGCCCTTTGGATCGAGGTATGCTTATTAGAACCAGTCAGTCAACCCCAGTTTGACAGTTGACCCATTTCTCTAGCATTGGTTGCATTCTCTCTACTGACCACCAGGGGGAAACATTCTGGTTCTGTAGAAGTCTATAAGAAAATGACTACTTCTTTGAATCTGCTGTGTGCTAAGATGGGGATTTCAAAATCACTAATCTAGAGGCTCCAATAATGGAAGATCACGAACCAATGGGTGATGCCACAATGGCTACGTACGTTTCTTTGATAGTTTATGGGTTATTCTTTAAGAAAGTTATTTATCAAGTGTGCTGCGTGGGGGAGCAACGACTAGTCAATCAGCACTAGCCGCAGGATTAACGCCAATATCACGCTGTTGTCTGCTGTGTGATCAGAGCAACACCAGACTAGTGTGACACAACTGCATCCCTATGACAACCCTTTACCAAAACTGGACAATCCCTGTACTTACAATGACTCCACATCAAATTTTAAATGATTATGACATTTATTGAAATGTGCAGTTGTGGTGATCACAGGTATAACTATATTTTTGCATCAGTGTTGGTTGCTTGAGGGAGGGTTCTCCATTTAGGCGTCAAAAAGGGTGGAATTCATCCCTGATGGCTACATGTAGAGGGCTGTATTCAGCTAAAGGAGATAATGTTTGTTTTATAACAACTGAATGACCCTCTTTGACAGAGAAACAGAGTTTGTGAGTTGTGGTACATCATATTCATTACATTTTGAATGGCTTTTTATGAACTGTCACAATTTTGTTCATCCATTACATGAGCCACCACACTTTGATGAAAATTGTGTTTACAACCTTTTTAATATCATATGCTGCTGTGTCTCATTTTGTGGACGTCTCTTTGAAAAACTAAATGCACAATTTAAAGAAGTAAAAATGTATTCTTCACAACCCACCCGTCCTGTCTCAGAACCTTTCTACAGGCAGGAAAGCACGTCTGTGTCGAGTATCCCATGACCATGAGCTACAAGGCTGCTGTGGAGCTCTGGGATTTAGCCCAGAAAAAAGGTGACGCGAATTGCTAATGAACCACATGTATTTGTCCAATGCTGTAACAATAACAATGTAATAGTTTGTCATGTTATGGGTGCAGTCCGATGTTGTGGAACTCGTGTCAGTGATGGCTTGGCTCACTCATTGTGCGGGCGGGGGGGGTTAACCAGAAGGAGTAGCCAGGCCGCAGCTTTCTGGATGAGCTGCATAGGGCGGTGGAAATAGCTCAACTAACAGTTACTACATCTCATCCTGTCAACATTTGTGTGTCAGGAGTGATTCTCCACGAGGAACACATTGAGCTTCTGACAGAAGACTTCAAAGCCCTGCAGAGAGAGGTAGAGGGTAAAATCCTGCAGGAAGGGACTCTTCATTTTACAGGTGAGACACACACGTGATCAGCTTTACGACCAAAACATTCATCTGTGTCTTTAAATCTAAATTAAAAGTAATTTATTGTTTTACTTTTAGAGATATGGCATGTGCTGCACTGTTCTCCCAGTTTATTCTCTCATGCTGCACATTATGCTGAAAACGCCACACCAGTCCCATATGAAAGTTGTTCCAAGAGACTGCCAGAAGAACTCCATGTCAGGGTGTGACAAGCAGCTAGACCTCAGTCAGGAAATGTAATCATGTACACTGTACTTGTTGAAGGTGGAGCTCTGAAGCCTGGATTTGGTTTCCAAGCATTCAGTGGTATTGCTCGCCTCACGTGGTTGGTCGAGTTGTTTGGTGAGTTGTCAGTGGCTGCAGCAACCATGGAGGAAGACTCTGGTAACGACTACAGCAAGATGACTGCAAAGCTGCTCACCTCTGACAACCGGTGAGTCTCCTTGTAGGTCTTCCACTGTCCTACTGATCCTACTGAAGATACAAGTCGTTAAAAGGAGCTTACAAATTGAAATTGTTTCTTTGTTGACTGACAAGTCAAACGACTCAAACAAGAGGGGTAAATGTGTCTATTATCAGCAGGAGATGAATCCTTATTGAGTTTATAGCTGCACATCTGGTTTCCATGTGGGTGTTTTAGAAGCAGTATCTCCTGCAGAGCTGCCCGGACACCAAGCACAGCTTTAATCATTCATTTCATTGGCCCCCTTATAGACCTCTGACGTGGATTGAGGAACGGGGACCAGGCCTCCCCAGGTCCAAGAGCATCAACTTTCACTTTGACTCGTGCACTCTGACCCAGATCCCACCTGCTCCGAGAGGGGATGTGGGCCTCTTCATGCAGGACCTGATCCACTTCTCTGCTAAGCTGGCAGGCCAAGTGAGTGCAGAGCAGCTCCACAGAGAGAGAACCAGGGTCCTGCACTGCCTTGAGCTGGCAGACCGGATACAACAACTTGCCTTAAAATAATCAAGTTTGTTATTTAAAAATGAGTATCTTCATATTTCATCACCATGCCCTTAATCTTTTGGATTTTATGTTGTAAGAAACTTTCAAAGTCTTAATGTTTTATTGAAAAGCGATTGATGCTGGTTGAAAGCTGAGTGCGCACACATTTCCACATGGAAGTATCCTACAAACCAGTTCTCTCAAATCCAGATGTACACATCACCAGTAACAGCATTGTTCTCCATGGTCTAGCAAAGTGATTTTGTCAGAATGATCATTCCATGATGAAAGAATAAAAAATAAGCTTCATTGTCTTCATATCAGATAACATTCGTCATCATTTTTTCTTGATTGACCCACTTGATCTGTGACTTTAGATTGAGAGACTTGATTGATCAATTTATCAACCACCAACTTTGGTGAAACGACTAGAAACCCTGACAGGAGAGGAGACGCACACGTCGCGTCCAGCGTAAAAAGGAATCGCAAATTCATTGCTGATCCTTCAGAAGTGACTCAAACAACTTTCATCCACAGAGGACACATCAATCAACAAACAAAACCTTATGTTTAATAAATATAAACTAATAATTGAGTAAAATATATATTAAACAAGGATTTGTAAAATCATTTCAAGTATTCAAACAATGTAATTCTTTAGTTTTACAACTGTTATTAGGTCTTAAAAGTTAATACATAAAAGACATGCGTTTTATTTCAAAATGCCCCTTTCCTCATATGCTTCTTTAAATAATCTTAAATAATTTCTCATGGTAGACTCAGTTTTAGAATAAAGCTACTGGTATCGTATGAAAGTGTAAAATGTTTAGATATTTTTTGCCTTTACGGAAATTAGTTTCAGCATGATTGGCTTCCTAAAAAGAAATCCATACGTGGAAAGCTGTTGTCTTTCATGCTCCGTTACTTGATGTGTTTGTCGTAAACTCTTTGCCTCCTTTTAGTCATTTTCCATAAAGAACCAAATCTGTGGAACAAACCCAATAACTGATGCAAAAGTGTTTGTGCAAGAAGACATCATACAACATATGGTTGAAGCTCTTACGCACAAAGCCACATTCATGATAAGCATCATGGGATAGTCGCGTTTCCGGGTGTCAGAGGATGCATTCTTCTGTGAATGTGATGGATGCTTGATGACTATTTCCCCCTAAAGACCCCCCTCCCCGCCCGCCTCCAGAAATAAGACTAACTTGGTCTATGGTAAATTGGGATGGAACAGAAGAGGTTCGTTTGTCCCTGGTGACTTTAAACTCGCCTTTATCAGACCGGTCTTCATGCGCAGGCCCACAGCTCCTCCCTTGTTTTTTCAAAAGGGAATGCACTTCATTATCAGAACAGGCTGAGCTACGACTGTCCTTTACATCCACTTCCTGGTTTACCCCTAATATTAGTGAGGAATGCAGATGATCCTCATCCCTTTTTAAAACATGTTTTTTTGTATATGTTGCATCCTACTTGAGTCATTTTTTAAACTTTTCATTATTGTTTGACGTGCTGAATGCAATACTTATGATGAATTGTATATGTTCCCTTGCAGGTTCCGACATTCTTCACACCGGTATTTTATTTCCTTATTTGTATGTCATACTTTCATGGTTCATTTTCTTTTCTTTTAGAGCGTTTTGCCGTGATCACCTGTTATATGCATTCTTGCTTTATACAATTAATAGTACAAATATAAAGCTACATTTAATTTCTATATTTGTTTAATCAAGTGGGGGGCACTCTTGGTTGTGGTGACCTGTATCTTCCCCGACGCTCCATGGCTCACACACAAGCGCTCTTATCTTGTTCTCCGTTATTTAGCAGTTCCAGTGTGCAAGTGTCATCACAATGTGACTGAAATGAGATACCACAGGGTCATGAACACTAAACATACGCGGTCTGAGCAGCTGGCCTTGACAACAGCGTGTTTGTCACACACACACACACACGACCCGTGACGCGATAAGTCATTATGGGTCATAACTGCATCCGTTCTTCACTAGCATCTGTCTGGACTGCAGAGGTTACTTCAGGCCAACAGAGTTAGTCCAGGTCACATAGAAATCCCATTAGTTCAGCTCCAATGGCCTATTGCTGGTTAAATATGGCTGTGTTAAAGTAGTAAGGAGCGGCATTTACTCCATTACAAGTACTATAGTACTGCGTTCTACTTTACTTTATTAGAGAAAAAAAAATGCTTTTTACAAAAAGTTAATAATGTGCATAGGAAGCCAGAAAGAACTGGGGTGAGAAGCTAGCATGGGGTGGTAGGGAATGAATGCTGATCCGGGAGCTGAAATAGTAACACAGAATGGAAAGAGAGTAGGAGTATATTCACTAAGAGATATGCTGCATGATGATTGCAGGCAGGAGAGTGAGTAAAGTGAAGCTGGAAGCCAGGGAGTCCAGGACAGGAGACCAGCGCCAAGCCAGCTGAGAGAGAGATGGACGGGAACACTAAGGATGCGAACACATGGAAAACAATGGAAAAAATTGGCCTATGGTGTGACCATAATTGTGGTCAATGGCTATGCATTTGTTGTGCTAACTAGTCATGCTTTGACTAGTCTGAGGAGAGAAAGAAAAATAGACACAAATTAGCACGTCTATATTCAACAGGGAAGTCACAATGATACATGACATCATTACCTTCTAACTTTCCTGAATGAGTCATCTGATATTAGATATTTTCAGAAAGAGACAGAACTTCTCTAATCTAATTGTCTTCATGTGATTGGAGAGATGATGTTACACATCATGTGACTGGAGAGACACAGACGTTACACATCATGTGATAGGAGAGACAACGAGGTTGGACATCTTCATTGTCGTGCTCTCAGACACACGAGAAGTGAGTCGGAACCGTTTCTAACTCTTTTTTTTCACCCTCACATGCTGTTCTCTTGGATCCTCCACACCTGCCCCTGGTTCCTCCCTACACCTGAGTCCCCCTGGTTCCTCCCCACACCTGAGTCCTCCTGGTTCCTCCCCACACCTGAGTCCCCCTGGATCCTCCCTACACCTGAGTCCCCCTGGTTCCTCCCCACACCTGAGTCCCCCTGGTTCCTCCCCACACCTGAGTCCCCCTGGATCCTCCCCACACCTGAGTCCCCCTGGTTCCTCCCTACACCTGAGTCCCCCTGGTTCCTCCCCACACCTGAGTCCCCCTGGTTCCTCCCTACACCTGAGTCCCCCTGGTTCCTCCCCACACCTGAGTCCCCCTGGATCCTCCCTACACCTGAGTCCCCCTGGTTCCTCCCTACACCTGAGTCCCCCTGGATCCTCCCTACACCTGAGTCCCCCTGGTTCCCAAGTCCCCACATTCAAAGCTTCACACGAACATAAATATATCAACAGTAAAACAAATACCACATTCATGTTATTGGAGAGACACGGATATCATTTATGATGGTGATGAGATGTGCCACGTAGGACATTTCTACTGGTTATGGACATTGTTGACAATTATTATAAGTACTAGTTGATATAACAAAGTCAACTATGCACATGCACACAACTGAAACAAGTGTTCACGTGTGTTTTGTTTGACCCACCCAGCTGAGAGTACCAAAGCATTGCACAATGTATTGTGAACATTGCACTGAATAGGGTGGGAAGAGCATGCAGTCTTCTTGTATATTGTATACGTGAATATACATTTCTTGAAAAAAAACTTCTGTTGTAAAATCAACTGTTTTTAGAACAGATACCTTAGACCAAGGTCTACCATTGAATTTCCTCCAGAGCATTTTGCCACAATCCCCTGCTTTCGACATTATTACTTTTTTACATTAATAGTCAGTGTAGAGAGAAAAACAATGGGAGGTATGAGAAAGCTTTTATCTGACACAGACAAGAGTACCACTGTATTGATTTATTTTCTGTTCATACAGCATGAACACATCAACACGTGAATGTGGATCGCACCTTCAGGCGGGCAGGGAATAGTGTTCACAACGAATGCCCTGACGTCCAGGCTTCCAGGTTTATCACATTCTGCTCCGAAAAATACTTATGGTAACACTTATATTTATAAATGTGTGGTTCTTTAGTGTAAGGTTTTCTGTTTTAACATTGTACTGTGAATGTTTTACACTTTATGAGAAGCACCTGAATAGCCGCGTTGCCATGATTCTACTGAAAGGGTAGACAGCAGTGAAATGTGAAGGTTGGCACTGGCCTAATCAGACGCAAACACCACCGTGTGAGGATGCGAGAGAGCAAACTCCAAAGTTGTTGGAACATTTACTTCAAAGGGAAGTCAGTAAATGATAGGCTACTGATTACAGTAATACATTCATTGATAAAAATGGAGTTGGTCATGGACACGCTGCACTCAGCAATTTCACACTACAGAATAAAGTAGCTGGTGTGAAATATCAAAGTAATTAACAAGCGCTGACAGAGTGCAGAGTAGAGTTAATATGTGAACACTGTGGCTATAATGAATACGCAGGAAATGAAACAAATCCCTGCAGAAAGTTGTGTTAGTGAATTCCACAATTCGTGTTAGTATTTCAAAACCACAGAAATGAGAAATAAATGGAGCAACAATGTTTTTGCATGTTAAGCCTATTGAGTGATGTACAACATACTTTACTGATAACATTTTCTGGACATTCCATTCCGTAATGATCATTTGAAAACTTGTAGCTTCTTGAAACGAATTTGCATTCAGTGATCAAATATTTGTACTCCTGTGTGAGGAGCAGACATTGAAACCTCAGAAGTCCTCAGGAATTTAAAATGTAAGTGGGAACTTTTACTCTGACATGTAAGATTTCTAACTGAGACAGGAAGTGTGTCTCCCAACAATATCAGATACACTGGAAGATTTTGAAAGCTTTTAAGACCCATACATGCAGAATATTTATATATACATCAAAGCATCTTCATTAACACCGTTAAATATACATATGTACAACATGACTTTTATCCCTCTACCTGCCTAGTGGTTCAATTTCAGCCTGTACTTAAAATCCACATCGTAGGTAGGCTGGAGGATTCCCAGACCGGCACGGGATTGGTCAAGAGGTGGGACTTTGATAGCAGGGTCCAATAGTTCCATGTCAAAGTAGGATAACACCAGAGTCAGAAACTGCTTGATCTCATAAAGAGCGAAAAATCTGCCGGGGCACTTGGTGACCCCCGAGCCGAAGGGCATGTTGAAGTAACGCAGCCGCCGGCCATTCCGGTAAAATGCATTTTTCTCTTGACCCTTCTCATCCAGGAAACGGTCAAACTTGTACTCCTGCAGGGGGATGAGGAGAAAGGAAGAGGGGAGGATGAGTTTCAGCAGTTCACAAATTATAGTGATGTGCTGAAGAAGCGTTTTTTTCATTAAGTAGAAACTATTTGGGAGTCTTACATGGGGATCCTCATAGATTTCTGGATCGAAGTGCAGCATAGGAGGATATAGTGCAATGACGTCATCTTTCCTGATACGGTAATCTTCTTGGTTGTCAAGGTGAAGCAGGAAGTCCTCCTTGGCAACGCGTACATTCATTGAAGCACTCGAAAGACGCATAGCTTCTTTGACGATGCTGTCTAAAGACAGAAAGTAGACAGAAACATGGAATGAAATAAATTAGGTCTATGATATTAGTTTAATACATTTCAAGGTAATAACTAGTGCTGGGCAACCATTAACCATTTTTATTGTGATTAATCGGAGTGTAATTCACAAAATTCAATAATAATTCAAAAGCAGAATATTGCGCACTTCTATTTTTGCAAACACTTGCAAAAACACTTGCTTTTTACAGCAGTATTTCCTTTACACAGTAGAAGTTGAAATATACGAATAAAACTCAACTTAAACTTAATTGAATTAAAGGAGAAAAAAAAGTTACTCCCTACGATCATAACTTCATAGTTAACAAGTTGACATTCATAAATCTGTTTTCTTTTGTTTGGTTACGGGTTAAGCGTCTATATATCTACCAATAGTTGATATATCTATCAATAATCAATCTATCCATCAACAATCTATGGTCAGTTGCCCGTAGCCCGTGTCCCTATTAGAGTCGAGGTGTTCCAGCACTAAGGACACAGCTGGGTTTCACTGTGCAAGGACATTTTACTCAATGAGGTCCATGTTTGTTCTTGATTTACTTTGGAGAATCTCAGTCACAAAAAGAGATGCAGGTTATTAATAACTTTGGTTGTATTACCTCCGGCATCTGGAAGAGATTTTCAAATGAAAATGGCCACTTAATAGTATGCTACCTTTCTCCATTTTTCTGAACCATGCCTGTTCATTTTTTTATTTGGTTCATGTGAGGGCTGCAGCAGTCCTCATATGACAGTATGTGTATTCAAAGACAGTGAGTAACAGACCTTCAAATAATAGTCATTTTTTAAAACTGCATCAACGTGTGATAAAATAATGTCGTAATGTGTTTTTTTATTTCTAGTTATCTGCTTATTATCTTACCCATAACAGGCATGCTGTCCAGCTGCTCCCTTGTCAGATTTAGTGAAGGGTTGCTCAGGTTGGCCGTCAGCCCTGAACCCTCCAGAAGTTTCTGCACTTCCTCACGAGCTGCTTTCATAGCATCTGGGCTCCTGATGACAGATAGAGGAGTCTGATTCTGTCACTGTTAAATAATACTATTGACTGATAACTGTGGGAATAAATCATTTAATTCCATTGTAACACCACCATTTGCAAATATATAGATGTCTAAAAAGACGTTTTTATCCAACATGAGGTAGATGGAAATGTGGATGTGTACACATAAGTTTATTAAATATTTAAAATACTTTCATTTTCTGATGCTCTACAGGTGTACAGCATTAAACACATTAAAGTCAGCACATTGATGCCAGTCATTGCTTTATTTCAAATCTAATGTGCGGGACTACAGGCACATTTTTGTCCTATATCAATTCCATACAAATGAAATAATCTAAAACCACGACACAATTTATTTTGTGTGCCAATGAGGGGGTTTCAGGACAGAGGACGGATGTCTGCCGCATGGGTACACTGTACGCCTGTAAAGCCCAAATTTGTAATTTGCAATTTTGGGCTATCAAAAATAAAATCGATTGAATTGAATTGCGGCAAATTGTTGAAATTGAAATGCTAGACTAACGTTTGCTCATTACCATCATCAGTCAACATTTGGTATACTTTGTTAGGCCACTCAGAACAATACATTAGTTTTATGTGCAAGGAGACGTACTGTAATTAAGCATATTTATGTATGTGGCTAATTCTAAGACATGGAAGTTAGCCACCATAGCTCCTGACTGTTAGAAAAAACACAAGTTTTTGTGTTAATAATTTACCCCACTTGACATTTAACTGACAATAATAAGACAACAATGAAGAGCCATTGACAACTACAAATATTGAGCCTAAAGACGTATACAATCAACATACCTGATCGTATAAAAGAGACTCCAGAAGGTAGCAGGAAGAGTGTTAGCCTGCGAAGCCCAGAGCAGAGCAACATGCGTCCTGGCTTTGCTCAAGTCATTGAAGGTAGATAAGGAGTCGTTTAGGATCATCCGCATAGAGATCAGATCAGACATGTTTTCCCTCTTGGACAGGTTTTCAGCATGCATGGTTTTTGCTAGATTCTAGACAGAGGAAAAAGACTTGGGTTTCTCTCATAGTTCAAACTGCTTGAGTTAGAAAACGCAGCAGAGAGGCGTTGTGGCACTAACCTCTCTAGCACTGTAGGCACTCTTGAAGACGTGGATGGGCAGGCCAGCCACCAATGCCGGGAATATCTTGTCAAACTCTTTGAAGTTCTCTAAAGCGTTTAGCACCAAGGCTTTCTGAGCCGCCTCCCTAGCCTGCCGTTTGTCTTCACCGTGCTCTTTACCAAACAGGGTCAGGTAGCCAGACTCAAACATCACCTGGAAGACAGAAGAAAACCAATTCCAAATTATAGGACTTTGGCGTATACAGTGTCTAATCTCGGGAACTGACTGTAAGTCCTTCTTGTGTGCTTTTGTTGCTATGTGTTAGTGCAGCTATGAAAATTGACTTTACACTTCTAGTGTCTTAAACTATATCTTATGAGTGGAAAGTCAAAGTCAATTTGCTAACCTTGTAGCAGAAGGCAAAGATGCCATCGGTCTCCCAGTGGTCCTTGCTAGGGCTGAGCGTGTCTGACCTCAGCATGACGTCCTGTAGGTGGCCCATCATAGACTCTATCAGGGAGGGCAAAGCCTCACCCTGCAAAGTCTTTAGAAAGGTTTGGTGAAGGTTCTCTGTGGTGTGGCCATGGCGAGGGTCAAAGCTGTCATGGCCAAATGCCTAGTGAGGGTAGGAAAATGAGTTTTAGGACCTCCTGAAATCACTATGGGGGAAGAAAAAAATATCCGGACAGAATATTGTATGAAAATTAGAAGATGAAATCTAACGAATGTACCTTGACAGACGTAGCAAAGTGGAACTTCCTCCAATCCAGGTGTCTCCCCTGTCTGATGACTGAATGGTAGGAGAATGGATCGCACAGGAAGTGAATGTACTGGCCTGCGATCTTGCAGGTGAAAATATGACCATACTTCTTCTGGCGGCTGCGTAGGAATTGAAGTGGGTTGGCCCCAAATTGCAGAGCACAACCGAGGTAGGGGATAAACCCGTTCTCAACTACAGGTTCACCTGGTTGCCTATGGAAAAAAATAGAGATAGCAGACAATATTCAGTGAAGGGTTCTGTTGTTTGTCTAGAAAGAGGGGTTTATAATGATTACATCGATTCTGAATACAAAAAGTATTATTGACTGATTCGAACTATACATACAATATAAACTAATTCAGATCTTGTCAACGAGCCAAGTCTCCTTGAGATTGAACCTGATTCTCCCGAAAAAAACAACATTGTCCAAAACATTATGAAACAGTTACCAATGTGGTTATGGTTAAATACCAAGCCTAAATGTAATTATAATCTTAAAATGATACATTTTACATTGGAAGCTTATCAGATTGTGTCAATAAGACCACGGTTTGACGACAACAGATAAGGAAAGACAGCACACTGGTGAAACGTCAGCCTACCAAAGAAATTCCAACATTCTTACAAAAGCTTTTGTTTGGTTAGCTCAGCGATGCATACATACGTATGTCCTAGATACATAAGCTGCTACTAAATCGTGCCAATAAATTGCATCTAACATGTCCTATATCTAGTCTCACCTGTGTCGGATCCCCACAGCAAGCCATAAAAGACAGCAGAATCCCACCACTACTGCCCAGATGAGGGCAATGCTTATTATCATGGCAGTAGTTGATGAGGATGATGAGGATAAGAAGAAGAGCCAGCTTACTGACTGCTACTAAAGCTTCACACAGATCACCCCGACAGTAACAACGATTAAAAATGTTACCCCAGATTGCAGGAGTTTTCCAACCCAGAGACTATGAATGCAGATGGGCACTGATTGTCAGTGCAGAGGGTGAACGTAGCCTGTGTGTGAGCAGTGTTGACTCAACCCTAATGTGATGACAAGCAGAATGTGACAGCGTTATATACCTGCTCTCTCCCTTAGGGCGGGACCAAGGGCTGATTCACGGGAATGGCATGATATCATCCCTCGTCATTCACAGTCGCAAAAGTTCAACTTGTTGCGTAACATAATGATTGTCCTATCTGCATGATTTTTATAGATAATGCTGCATGTATTGTCTTACTTGATTTTCAGCATTTCTTTGCTGAAATATAACAATGTCAACATGTTATAATGTATAATAAAAGTATAAGGTTTCATATAAAATTCCACATTTTATATTTAGATTTTTTTTAGATAAAAAAAAAAGCAAACTGACCTCTTCATATGAAATTTATTTGCATTTACAAAGCATTTAAAAATGATCTAAGGTGTTATTTTACTGTGATTTCTCTAGGAAATGGGATTCCAAGAAAAAAGTGTGTTTGTGTGTGTATTTGAGTGTGTGCGTGTGTGCATGATGACCTTGACCGGAGTCCATGGACAGTGTTACCTGAAGGACGGTGCTGTGATAATACTCTGGATTGGTAAATAGATTCAAGGTCTCTGCAGTGCTCCTGCGTGTGTGAATATGTGTGTTTGTGACAGAGTGGAGGCGGACACAGAAATGATTGTGCTCATAGTATCGTATGTGACAGCAAAGGAGTTTTACCTGTTAAGACCTGTTAAGACTGTTAAACTGTTGTGCTACAGGAGATTAAATCAAGTTCATCCGGAAGGACACGATTAGAAAACAATAACACATTAAATTAATTACACTGTCAAGTCAGAAGTGAAAAAACAGTAAGGTTAATGGTGTAAGTACAATGGTCCCCAGTTATTCTCTATGTTGGAGATGTTGCCTCCCTTTGTTTGCATTCTCGAAGTTTAGAAAGGAAAAGAAATGTTTCCCACAGCCATCATTTTAGCTCGCTATGTTAGCATGCCAGATTTGATTATTAGCAAAATGAAATGAGTACAAATTAAGTTAAAGTTAAAGTAAAGGGAATTTTATTAGGACAAAAGGCAGCCTGTAAGATACAAACTCTCCTTAACAACAAAAACATTTTGCAATAATGTCACAATACTTGTAAAATGAATGTTATTATACAATGTGGTCTTTAGGGTCTTTGTTAATAGCGTTTTAGGTGTGTGATATCTTATTTACACATTTGTATTCCTTATTGAGCACTGTTGTTGTTAATCTGTCAAGCTGCTACAAACAAACTTATTTATAAAGTTGTTTGTATTGTAGTCTAAGTAATTTAGTAAGTAAGTAATTTCTTACCACCATTTGGAGATGTATGTAAAATGTTGTTCATTTTGAAGCCAATTGGTGCCGTCGTCAAGGTGCCTAGCTTAGTCAACTTCAGTTTTTCACTATAGTTTAAGTGTAAGAAACTAGCTCAAGCCTTCTGTACCATAGGAAAATGTATTTTAAATGAGGTAAAGGGTTGATGAAGAGCTGGTATCAATGAAAATCCTATTCTTACATCTGGTCATCGTACAATACTGTTAAACTCAGCTGTTCAATGCAAGTATGTTAAGAACACGTGAGAACGTTCTAAACGTGTAGCTTACAGATATGGGCCAATTTATCGGCAACCAGCACTGCAACAGGTTCTTGTCCGTTGATGACTGCAGGCCTATTCTGCCGGAGAAATTGCAGCTTTGCACCGGGGTTCGAATTGCCAACCTTGTGATGCCCGGCACACCCTCTCTACTCCATGCTCCCCTGTCGTCCCGACGGATCACTCCACTCTGACCAACTGCCTCACTGACATTAAATGGATAAAAAACAACTTCCTTAAACTCCATCCATCCATCGTCAAACTGCTTATCCTGCACACAGGGTCGCGGGGGGGCTGGAGTCTATCCCAGCCAACTTCGGGCGATAGACAGGGTACATCCTGGATTGGTCGCCAGCCAATCGCAGGGCTACACAGAGACATTCAACCATTCACACTCACATTCACACATCTACGGGCAATTTAAAGTCCCCAATTAACCTGATCCCCAGAGCATGTCTTTGGACTGTGGGAGGAAGCCGGAGAACCCACGCAGACACAGGGAGAACATGCAGACTCCACACAGAGACGCTACTGGGCGGAGTCAAACCCAGGACCTTCTTGCTGTGAGGCGACGGTGCTAAGCACCACGCCACCATGCCGCCTTCCTTAAACTCAACTGTGATAAATCTGACATGATCATCATTGTTCCCAAATCTCTCACTAAAACCACTTCTCCCTGACCATTGACAACTCCACTCTGTCTCCCTCTCCACACATCTGTATCCTTAGAGTCATTTTTGACAGCAACCTCTCCTTTAAACATCACAAAGCAGCCTCAGCGCCCTGTTTAACCTACATTTATGACATTTTGGAATCAAATGTACAACATGCAGAACTTTTTTTAAAGTATCTAGAGACCATGGGCGAAAATCAACAGGTCCGTCATTTAGCTACCTGTACTGAATCTATGCAGGTCACGTAAAAAATGATCAAAAGACTCGTACACGAAAACCCAGTCGGGAAATGAACAAATCATTTCTGTTTCCTTGACTGAGCCTATGCAACATTCCCGATGCGCGGCCACGAGAAAGCGCCTTCAAAAAGGACTCGTTACTCCTGAGTCCTTGTAAGGAGAATGAATCGTTCAGGAACGACACATGACTATTTGCAAACTTCACCTGGAGGCCACAAGACACTTCCAGTTTCTTTCCTAATAAATTACAGGTAGCTTGCTTCAGACTGGGATGGCTGGGCGGTATGGCCAAAAATCCATATCACGGTATTTAGAAAGATTTTGACGGTATCTCACGGTAGGCTATTGCTTTTTCAAGTAAACACATTAATTCATTGCAACTGGCCGGCGTGGTAGCTTGTTAGCTAGTTATCGTGTTAGCTTGTTGTGGCTGCTAGTGTTGCCACCAAAGGCAATTGACCCCAAAAAGGATGCTGGCTCCCCAAACAGCTGTTTGCCGCTGGCTGGCCAACTCGCTCGCAATTGGCCAGCGTGTTAGCTCGTTAGCGGGTTAGCTTATTGTGGCTGCTAGTTTCTGATCTACCATAACTTACGTATTTTACAAGCTTCACAGGGGGATAGCAGGAGGTCATGGAATGTGTTAAATGAAGTCCTTAACAGGAGACACAAACCTACTACTTTGCCTGACTGAAGCTGATCTTGTACAGAGTTTTAATAATCATTTTGCTTCAATAGGTGCAAACCTGGCTGAGAAGATAAACCAACCCCAGGGTGTGAACTTTAAGCATTTTCTTTCTGGTAGCTACATTGACTCATTTTTTACGATACCAACAGATAGTACTGAGCTCCTCAAGATCATTTTGGGCTTGAGGAGCTCATATACCGCAGGGGCAGATGGAATATGTAGATTATGAAAGCCATTGCAAATGTCATTGTAGAGCCACTGGCTCACTGCATCAACCTCTCTTTACTTACAGGTACTGTACCAAAAATGACAAAAATTGCTAAAATAATTCCAATTTTTAAATCGGGTGACAGAAATGATATGAACAATTATTGGCCCATATCAATTCTACCCACTTCTCCAAAGTAATGGAGAAAGTTGTACACACCAGACCACCAGTGGCTATCTTCAAAAACTAGATATTCTTGTTCCCTCTCAATACGGTTTCAAGAAAAAGAGTACAACCTCTATGGCAATACTCGATCTAATAGAACAAATACATGACTGCATTGAAGAAGGGAAATGTGGTGTGATCAAAAGCCTTTGATACCATTGACTTTGATATTTTACTGTATAAACTCTACCACTATGGTATCAGAGGTCAAACACTTGAATGGTTCAGAAGTTATTTATATGAGAGGGAACAGTATGTCCATGTCAATGATCACAACTCTACTTATCAGCCCATGACCTGTGGGGTCCCCCAGGGTTCAATTCTAGGCCAACTCTTATTCATTTTATATATAAATGATTTCATAAACTCCTCTAATATATTTCATAAAATTGTTTTTGCAGACGACACTAACTTGTTCACGTCACACAGGAACCCACATATTCTACAAGATATAATAAACTCTGAATTAACTAAAGTGGACTACTGGTTCAAATGTAATAAACTGCCATTAAATGTGAACAAAACTAATTACATTTTATTTAAATCTTGTAAAAAATGTAAAAACGTTGATCACTGCCTGATTAGGATAAATGGGCAGGAGATAAAAAGTGTATTCCACTAAATTCCTGGGGGTCCTCATTGACGACTCTCTTAGCTTTAAATGTCATATCGAGTATCTTGTAAACAAATTGTCTAAGTATGTTGGCTTGTTTTATAAGAGCAGACATTTTCTACCTCGGTCTGCACTTCTTACTTTATATAAAACTCTCTTCGAACCACACCTTAACTATTGCAATGTGATATGGTGTAACACTTTCACCAGCCATCTAAAAAAACTTATATCCTTGCAAAAGAAAGTCATACAAGATCAATTCCACCACTAAACCTTTATTCCACCGTTTTGAGGTACTAAGACTAACTGAGCTAAACGCATACCATAATGCTTGCCTTATGTTCCAAATTGTCAATGGACTGAACTCTAGATTGAGTACTCTTGTTCCTATCACCAGCCCCCAGCCCACTTACCATACGAGAATCAAACCACGTATATCAGGAAAATGCCACCGACATGTGCGTGCTAGTATGAGTGTGGTCTGTAGGGGGCCGCAAATTTGGAACGGGATTGACGATGGCCTCAAGGTGTTGCCCTATATCTCCAACTTTAAAAGACAACTAAAAACATATTTCTTA